AGTTCACACTAACGTAAAAACAAAAGAAATCTCTACACATTTTCCGTTTGTGAGTCTGTGATACTAGGTACCTAAATGGAAAATCCAACACACTCATCTCCCAGTTCCTCACTGGGAGGCTGAAGAGGGCCTGCTGATCAGGTTCTGCCTCCTGATGGGGCAGGACCTGGGGCTTCGATGGTCTCACTCCTTCATGGAAATTAAATAAGAAAGAAAAGCCAGAAACACAGAACAGGACAATTTGGTAAGTTGTAATGATTTTCCATTCTTGCTTGAGAAAAGTATTATGTTAAGAAAAGTTTATATCCTTTGAACTTTTGTTAAAAAAATAGAAATTGGCATTATTAACATGCTAAAAAAATTAGGTTTAAAATACTATCAAATTGCAATTGTATTAATATCAGTCTCATACAAATGGCCTAAGAGGAGAAGTGCTTCCCGAAACATTTTTAAATAAATGATAAATAGGGAGAACGGAGAACAGATAGCCTGTAGATAATAGATGTTCTTGGAAGTGAGCCCAGAACAAATGGATCAGTAAGATTTAATAGGGCTGGAAAAAGAAGCAGGCATGTATATCAAAAGGGCTCAGTGTGCCAGCCAAGGTGAATGAGAAAAGCACCATATTGAAACCTATCCTGGCAAAAATAATTAAATATACAACTATTGAGATAATAGTGGAAATATCACTGGTTTCCACACACTAATGAAGAGAAAGAATTCTGGCTCGACTCAGATTTCAGAGTTGTAGAATAAAATCCCCAAAGACAGTTGAAGAAGGGTTAAATCAGTTTTGAAGGTGAGGAGTTGTGATAAGATATATATGATGTTATTAGTTTATGAAAACAATAGAACACATTCTAAGATATGCTAAGAGTCAGAAAACATCCCATCCGTGTAATTCTTTTCAAATTATTTAAAGACATACTTCACTCGACTGAAAGGTGGAGCAAAAAGGAAGTATGGAGAAGTCCTGGCAAAAAAAGTCCAGCAGAGAATCTTAAACAGGGAAAACAGAAAGACGTTAATATTGTTCTCATAAACGCGGGTTATCATGTAACACAATTTTTTTTTTTTTTTTTTTAAAGAATAGAGATGGGGATTTCTCCATGTTGGTCAGGCTGGTCTTGAACTCCTGACCTCAGGTGATCCACCCACCTCGGCCTCCCAAAGTGCTGGGATTACAGGCATGAGCCACCGTGCCTGGCCTTGTAACACAAATTTTTAATTTTTGCTTTTGAATGACTTTATGTGATAGAGGACATGACAAATAATTTACATAATGTGAAACTAACAAATGATGAAATGATACAATTGAATAGAATAAACATAATTTATAGAGTAAAAGCCAAAAAATTTAAAAATAATGCATGTGTATGTTTCCAGAGAGTGAAAAGACCTGAACAGGGAGCTGAGAGGTATACACGTGATAACCACGTTGCCTTACGTATGTGGCACATTGCAGATATTTTATTTTTGACTTTGACATTAAAAAAATAAGTTAAAATGCATTGGGAAAACTTCTAACATTAGAACTAAAAACTGTTACCTCCCAAAATAGAAAGCAGAAGCACAAAAATACCCAAAAAGGACATGAAAACATTAAAAAGAGAAATAACAAAATATGACAGAAATAAGACCACCTATATTACTTTTAACCACAAACAAAATGGATGATTTCTTAGAAAAACATAAAAGCAGAACTGTCTCAAAAATCAACAGAATATCTGCATAGTCTAACAACCATAAAAAAAGCATATAATGTGGTCAACACCATCTCCCCAATGAATTCTGGGTCACATACTTTTGGTTACTTTAAAACACTATAAATTATTCCAGTACATATTAAAAGGTAGAAAATTTTACAAGTTATTTTTACTGAGCTAGGATAACTGTAAATCCGACCATGACAGTATGTAAAAACCATAGACTAATCTCATTTATAAACACAAAGGCAAAATCCTCTGCAATGCTATTAAATGCCCTTCGCAATGGTATTTTAAATAACCGCTGCAATGGTATATTAAATCTATAACAAACAAAAACAAACTCCACAGACATTTAGAAACCAATTTAGTTTGTTTTTCACAGTGGTCTGAGTGTTGAAATTCTGTTAACTTTTATTGTTGTACCTGAGGATTGAGCAAGTGAGACACCAGCGCAGAATGGAGGAAGACACGGAGAAGCCCGTGGGGTTGGATGCAAACTAGAGGTGTGTGATACATATAAATCACGTACCAAGGAAAATTTCCTGCCCTGGGATTAGGGGGAACCAGCAAGATGTGCTTGACTGGATTTCAGAATTGATATAAACAAGTGACTGCTGCTTCCTTTTCCCCCATTTGAATGGAAGCATCTATAGTGGTCATACTGCCCCTGTTTTCATCACTGAATGATGGCAGCAGGGGAGAAACAGTTTTTCAGCTTACAGGTCTCTAGCTCAAGAGGAGAGGCGTCCAAGGAGCTGCACCCAATGAACCACACCCAAGGAGATTATTTCCTTTCTTCCTTCCTTCCTTGTTCTTTATTCTTTCTTTCCTTTCCCTTCTTTCTTTCTTTTTTTCTTTCTTTCCTTTCTTTCTCTTTCTTTCTTTCTCTTTTTCTTTCTTTCCTTTCTTTCTTCCTTTTTCTTCCTTCCTTCCTTCCTTCTTTTTTCTTTCTTTCTTCTTTCTTTCTTTCTTTCTTTTTCTTTCTTTTCCTTCCTTCCGTTTTCTCTCTTCCTTCCTTCCTCTCTTCCTCTTTCTTTCTCTTTCTTCCTTCTTTCCTTGCTTCCTTCCTTCCTTCTTCCTTCCTTCCTTCCTACCTTCCTTCCTCCCTCCCTCCTTCCCTTCCTTCTCTCCTTCCTTCCTTCCTCTTTTTCTTTCTTTCTTCCTCCCTCTTTCTTCATTTCCTTTCCTCCCTGCCTCTTTTTTCTTCCTTCCTTCCTCTTTCTTTCTGTCTCTCTCTCTTCTCTCTCTCTCTCTCCTCTCTCTCTCTCCTTCTCTCTCTCTCTTTCTTTCTTGTGGCCCAGGCTGGATTGCAGTGCTGCATTTTTGCCTTACTGTGACCCATCCTTCCACCTGAGCCGCCCAGCTAATTTTAAAAACATATTTTGTAGACATGAGGTTTTGCCCTGTTGCCCAGGCTGGTCTTGAACTCCTGGACTCAAGTGGTCCATCTGCCTCGGCCTCCTAAAGTGCTGGGATTTCAGGTGTGAGCCACTGTGACCAGCCCCAAGAAGCTTAATCTGATCTGAACCTGATTTAGATAATGAGGTCCTGGACTTCGTTCCAGTATTGCAGACAGTCAGACTTCTGCGGGGAGAGAATTGTCTTTTGTATATGGGAAAGATGTGAACTACTGTGGCCAGAGGGTGAACTATGGTAGATTGCTTCTAAAGATGGAAGCAATGATGTTTCTTCCCAAGCAACATTCTCCTTTGAAATGTGACATTGCCACTCATTCCATCAAGAGTTAGGATCAATTCTTTCTTCTTCTGAGGCTGGCCCTGTGACTTGCTTTGACCAACAGAATGTGGCAAAAGTGACACTGAGCAAGTATAAATAGGATCTGTCAATACCATGTGGAACAAAGGTAACAGTCCCCATGGATGCTGCCTGAATTCCTGACCCACAGAATAGTGAGCAATAAAATGTTTCTTTCTTTTAAACAGCTAAGCTTTGAAGTTATTTGTTACAAAGCAGTAGATAGCTAATACACCATCAAATTATGCTGGGGTCATTTCAAAACAACTCAGGAATCAAATTGAGGCGATTTTCACTAAAAGCGGGCAACTCATGCATGCCTGTAATCCCAGCTACTCAGGAGGCTGAGGCAGAATTGCTTGCCCCCAGGAGGAGGAGGTTGCACTGAGCTGAGATCATGCCACTGCACTCCAGGCTGGGTGACAGAGAAAGACTCCGTCTCAAAAAAAAAAAAAAAAAAAAAAAAAGTGGGCAACTCAAGCATCAATAAAGGTATTAGCATTTAAATATGTAGGTTCAAGATAATTAAAAAAATCCCTGGTCACCTTTAGAGGATATTAGGAAATCAATTCATTATTTTGAACATTGCTAAATAATAATAATAATAAAAAGCATTTATCCTATCTTTTGTACAACCTGTATTTCAAGGTAACCAAATATTGTTCCTTTTCTTTTCTTTTTTGAGAGATGGAGTTTCGCTCTGTTGCCAGGCTGGAGTGCAGTGGCGCAATCTTGGCTCCCTGCAACCTGTGCCTCCCATGATCAAGTGATTCTCCTGCCTCAGCCTCCCAAGTAGCCGGGCCTACAGTTATGCGCCACCACACCCAGCTAATTTTTGTATTTTTTAGTAGAGACAGGGCTTCACTATGTTGGCCAGGATGGTCTCCATCTCTTGACCTTGTGATCTGCCCACCTCGGCCTCCCAAAGTGCTGGGATTACAGGCATGAGCCACTGCTCCTGGCCCCAAATATTGTAAAAGAGAAGCTCTTTGCAGAAGAATTCTGACTAATAATGAGGTAAAAAAATAAAATCTGAATCTCATCATTTTGCAACCCCTGATGATATCATGGATTTAGGTATTGCTAAAACCATCAGGTGATAAATGATCAGGCTGATAACACCTGCACCTGCTGCCAAACTTAACATAAAAAAAATACTAAATTCCCCCTGTGACGCCTGTGTGCCAAACCCCCCTGCAAATCAAAACAAAACCCTCAAAACCTGAGTTCGAGCAAGCTTCTAGATCTAACTTTGTTTACAAAAAATGAGAGGAAGAGACGAATGTACCACTAAGAAAATGCAACCAGAAGACTCTAAAAATTTAATAGGACAAAAACCCTGAGTTCTTCAATAAATACATGGCAATTTATAGCTTAAAATAAGACATAGGGACAGATGAGCCAAATGCAATATGTGAAACTTGTTTAGATACTGATTTGAACAAATCAAGTCTAAAAAGACTTATGAGATAGTGGGGAGAATATGAACTCTGATGGGGTATCTGATGGTGTTAAGGAAGTACTAATTTCTTTTTAAGTGTAGATATAGCCTTTCAAAGGCAAAGAGAAAGAATAAAGGTGGTGGAGGGTGTGATAATCCTTTGAAGGGTCTGGGTTTGGGTCCTGAGGGCAGCCAGTTACATCCCAGGCTCACTGGTGATCAACAGTCCAGGCCAGGGCCTCATCAGCTGGATCCTGGGGTTGAGATGCTTCAGCCTTTCCGGAACAGGTTCAAGGAGGAGTCCGGAAACTGCTGTCATTGGCTTTGTGAAAACCGAACACATCTTTGAGATCTTTTTCAAATTCTGCCTCTAAGTCAAGCCCTACCTGGCCAAAGGCAGAAGCCTGAAAGAGAAAAAAGCAAACAAATATGTTTAAGGAAGAAGGATAACAGCCATCAAATCATTCATACATTTTTTTTCTGTTTTTTGCTTTTTTTTTTTTGAGTCAGGGTCTTTGTCACTCAGGCTGTGGTACAGTGGCATCATCACAGCTCACTGCAGTCTTGAGCTCCTGGGCTCAGGTGATCCTCTCAATTCAGCCTCCTGGGTAGCTGAAACTGTAGGCACACGCCACTACGCCCAGCTTTTGAAAACATTTCTTTTTTTTTTCCCCCAGATCGGGGTGAGGAGGTCTTGCTACATTGCTCAGGCTGGTCTCCAACTCCTGGCCTCTGGCGAACATCTCCACTTGGACTCCCAAAAAGCTTGGATTATAGGTGTCGGTCACCGCACCCAGCCTCACTCATATATTTTTAGGAGCCCCAGCAGTCAGGCAGAATGGATGGGGAGATGCTGCTACTAAAATATCAAGAAGCACGAGACTCTACCTGGTGGTTAACTTCCACCTGACGGGTGATCTGGACTGAAGGGTTGGTTTTGATCACTGCAAATCTGAGCATGGTGCAAAATAGCTTAAACAAATTTAGAAAAGCATTTCTTGAAAGCCCACTCGCTGAGGAAGGATGACCCTCTGTTCTCCAGGGCTAAGGATATGCCAGACACTGAGCAGCTCTCTGAGCCAACCCTTTCTCCCTCCAGCCCCATGAGTGGGTACCCGTTTACAATGTGTGGTTTGTGAACATGCCAGCTCCCGGCATGGAAGAAGGGAGGGAAGCTGGGCAGAGATGAAAATCTTCCTTAGGTACCTCCCAAAACATTTCTGTACAAGTGAGGATAAAAATTAGAGCAAACCAAAGTTAAAAATGTCTTGGATTGCAAGATAGCTCAACTAGCAGTCCCTCCCTCATAAAGGAGGGTGAAACTAACACTGTATTGGAAGGCAATTCCAGATGTTTGAGTCCAATGAGAAGTTTATGTGTAAAAACATGCAAGCCTGAGTATCCAGGAAGTTTAATTGATTTTGTTTTGTTTCCTTACTGATTTTCATATTTCTGAGACAGGAAGAACAATGTAAGTATAAACTGCCTTTCCTTCCAGTTTGAACAAAGAGGCCGGATGCCATTTATCGCTCTAGGTAGGAGCGGGCTGCTGATCTGGGAACGGAGCGTGGTTTTTTCAGCTGCTGTTCCGGGATCCCTTCCCCGTCCTGCTTGCTTTTCTTTTTGCCCCTCACCCCTTGCCTCCAGGAATGCTGAGATGTTTTTTTTTTTTTTTTTTTCTGTAATCCTTGTCTTATGTGAGATCTCCCCAGGATGAAACTGGGTGTAATTCTTGCAAAGTTCCGCTGTCCCAGAAATTAGAGGAAAGTAGAAAAGATGAGGAAGGAAGCAGGAAATGCCCTTTACCTTGTAGAATGTTTTATGGTTGTGAAAGATCAGGCGCATGTCTCGCACAAACCATGCCACCGTGTACATTTCCGTAATCAGCCTTTCCTTAACCAGGTCCAACCACATCGCTTCCTGAAAGGGCTCACCGTAATCTCGAATCTGGGGACAAAGCCACCACAGAGGTGACGTTAGCATGGCTGTCATCACTGGAGCGGATCCAGCTTAAATGCAATCCAAGCCTTTATTTCCAGGATAACAATAATAATATCATCTGACCTCTTTAGGTCAGCCATTGTTCTAGGCACTATATAAACTACATTCTAAGCCAAGTATATGAATATGTAATCTCCACATTTATGGCAACCATAAATAATGATGCCCATTTCATAGATGAGGAAGCCAAGGGATGGGGAGGTCAAGGAACTTACCCAAGATGTCTCAGCTAGAAAGTGGTACAGCTGGGATGGGAACCCACACAGTTTGGCATCTGTGACTTTTTTTTTTGAGATGGAGTCTCACTCTGTCACCCAGGTTGGAGTGCAGTGGCACAATCTTGGCTCACTGCAACCTCTGCCTCCCAGGTCAAAGTGATTCTCCTCCCTCAGCCTCCCGAGTAGTTGAGATTATAGGTGCCTGTCACCAGGCCTGGATAATTTTCGTATTTTTAGTAGAGATGGGGTTTCACCATGTTGGCCAGACTGGTCTCGAACTCCTAACCTCAGGTGATCTTCCCACCTCAGCCTCCCAAAGTGCTGGGATTACAGGTGTGAGCCGCTGGGCCCAGCTGGCACCTGTGACTCTTAATCCCTAGTAGGAAAGACATTCCTCCTAAAGAGAAGATGAAACGGATACACAGGAGGGGAAGCAGCTTGCCAGGTATCTCAGCGCTTGTGCACGGTGGGGTGGAGTTTGAACCAGGCAGTCCCTCTCCAGCTAACCCCCTGCTAAATGCCCTGCTGCCCTGCTCCACTGCTGCCATGCTGGCCTTCTCTCCTGCTCACCAGCTTCCTGAGCAAACTGCAGCACCTGCCAGATTCAGCCCCTCAATTTCTCAAAATGCATTTTATGCAAGAGAACCATAAAATGTGACTTACATTAAGTGGGATGGCAGTAAAAAAGGAGCTTTGTGGATGACAGTAGGCCTTCAAGAGGAGGAACTCACATTTCTGTAAAACATGAAGAGGGCTTGAGAGTGAAACGCAGCAACAGTGAAGTCAGGCCAGTGCCTAGACATGCGCACAGATGGAGCAGCCAGGCGCAGTCAGCATTCCCACCGTGCTTACCGAGGCCCACGGGGTGTGTGGGATTTTGTTTGGACTCTGTGTTTGGGCATTAAATCATTATCCTCTAAAGGGAGACGTTCAAGGCTCCCATTGGTGCACTGCCCTGAACCTGTGCCTGTTTGTGCTTCTTGTGTGAGCAGGGAAAGGCATAGGTCTGGGGTTTGCATCCAACTCACCAACTGTTCTGGAGGCTGCATCCGCCTCTCCAGGATCTTAGATACATAATGGCCCTGCTGGCTTCCAGAAGACCTCTTCATCCTGCAGAAGGTGCAGCTCCAGGGGGTCCTGAGAGGTTGGACATAAGGTGAGCAGAGGGCAGGGCTCCTGGAAATGGCCACCATTCCTGTGGCTGCCACTGTCCTCCCTCAGGAAGGATGGGCTCAGCCATGAGGGGGGGAAACCTCCCAGAGTGTCCAGGAGCCCCATACGGGGTCTCCAGCATTGACCCTTCCCTCGCATCAGTGGTAAGTGCAGGTGGCCAGGCTGAGGAAGGTGGCGTCACCGTGAGTGTGTGCTCTCTTCTCTTCCTTTGTGGCAGGCACAAAGGAACCCTGCCTGCCAGGCTTGAGTGTCAAAATCTGGGCTTTCACCTGCAGGGACCTCAGGCCTCCATCAGCAGGATGAGACTATGGTGAAATGTGTGACAAGCTGTGCTTCCTGTCTTTTCTGAGTAGGCACGGAACATAAGCTGGCTTTTCCTGTCCCCAACTCCCCTTGGACAGGAGTCCCTACTATCCAAGGAATAGCATCCCAGGAAAGGGCACCTCCAGGGGCAGGGGAAGTGTGGGGTCAAGAGTCTCACTGGCAGCCTCAGAGACGCAGAGAGGCCCAGAGTCTCTGACATCAGATTACCCTCTGTCATACCGTTGTCTCAGACACTCACAGGTCCTGCCCTTCCCTCTGGAGGTGAGTGCTGTGTGCCGAGGCGCGGCTGCATCCCACTCACCTCTTGGCTTCCACAGGGGGGATGTGACAGTCCTCATGGAAGGCTCGTGGACAAGTACCGCAGCAGAGAAGTTGTCCGTCTTTACAGCACACCTCGCATTCATCCGACTTTTTCCACTGCAAGGGCAGATAACGTGGGCACCGCTAGGATGGTGGAGACCCACAAATGCTGACCCTGTGGGTTTCTAGAGCATGTCATTTTTGTGTGTGCTAGAACGAATACCCAAACCCAGTTTTGGGTGGGGGGCGCTGATGCCACCTCCCTGGGGGAAACTGCAAGACAATTGGCACAACAAGCTGAGCGTCTGGGTGGTGAGCACCAACACCACCAACACCAAGAAAGGGCTTTTCTTCTCTGGCTGTGGCTTGCTAACGGGTTCTGCCGCATTTTGAGCTGTGTTGCTGCCTGCTGGCAAGCTTGTGCTTTGAGCTGAGCCACTTGGGGCAGCATTCGCTGAGACCCACCAAACCTCTGTTAATAGATCTAACCGACCAAAGTAAGATACCATGATAGCTGGCATGTCGGCGCAGCAGTGTGGGAACGCTTGTTCCTGGCGCCTTGCCTAACTGCCCCATGGTTGTGACATAACATGGCTCTAGAATGTTCCGTAGTGGGCATGGATGCTGTGACCCAGTAAATAACAAATTAAAATAACTAAAATTAAGTTATCTTTGGCACCTACAATCAGCTTTACAAAATGAAACTCCAAGGACCTCTGTTGAAATATTTTATACTGATCAATATGAATTAAAATGAACTTTCAAGGACTGAAACTCATTATAGAAGATCTGTGTAGAGACGGGGTGACTATTCCCACCGTTTCTCCATTCAAAAGCCCAGTTTGGTCTGTTCTTAAACTTGGAAAGAATGAATGATGCCTCACAGTGAATTACTGCAACCTGAATGCTGTGACCCCACCTGCGAAGGCCCAATGTTATTGAAATTACTGATTCCATCCACTTAGCAACTGGTAAATACTCTGCAGGCACAGATTTGACTAATGTGTTCTGCTCGGTGTCTATTTCAACAGCATCTCAGCTGTGGGTTGCTTTCACTCCTGAAGGGACACAATAGACCGTTACCTGGCTACCACAGGGTACCTTGACAGGTACCTCCACCATAGGTTCCTCCACCATAGGCGATGTTTGCAGGCAGGATTTGAACTGCATCTGACACGCTCTAGGAGCACAGGCATAACATCACCCTGAAGACACCCTTCTCTCAGCAGATTCATTTGACACACTCAGGACATTACTCACAAGGAGCTCACAGAAAAAGATGGGGTTTGAGTTTCTGCATGGATGTGGAATTAAAATAAAACAAAAAAGCATGGGCCACTGTCCCAGACATGGTACAGGGGTCCGCCACCATCTGGGCATTATCTGGTGAGTCAAGGGATGCTCCATCCCTGACACTGTCAAAAAATAATTATTGATCCTTAAGTGCTCACAGTGTTCTAACCAGCCTCCAAGTATCCTTTGGGCCTCTTGAGTTCTGGAGGAAATGCATCCCTCATAGTTAGATAAGCCCATTTATGCTGTTACTTGCAAACAGGCCCACTTTGAATGGGGCTCCTTCTAACAAAAGGTTTTAGAATCTGTCAAATTGCGATACAGCAGGCTTTCCCATTAGTGCCCTCCAGAGTCTGGTGACTTTGGCTACCTCTTCTCACACCTCCTAGCATCTCTGGACCACCCAGGACGGCCATGCACTTCTGGTATAAAAAAAAGAACCCCAAAAGCTGTTCTCCTCAGCCCCACACTATATGCCATTTGAGTGGCAACTGCTGGCTACATCCAGGCCCTTCTGGAGATGGAGGCTCTCACAGGCCAAGCCTGTGGCTCTTTGCACCAGCTGTCTATCATGTGTGGGCCATGGAGGCAGCACCCTGCAGGTGACCACAAAGCACACTTTAGGAGTGCCAGCATCGGTCTCTTTGTTGTACACATTCACAAGTGACACTGCAGTGGAGACAGAGGTGCTGCAGAGCAGTAGTCACGCTGGGTGATGGGGCTGAGGGCAAGGCCTGCATTGGCTCATTCTCAGTCGGATAAACCTTCATCTTCTTCTCCCAACCTGGCCCCGGAAGGTGGGACTGAAAGGCTGGGTCAAACATGCCCCTGGCTATTAAGTGCTGACAGGTGGCATTAGGGGAGCTAGAGGATATTATTGTGTTGGGGCTATTAACGAATGATCTGGATTTTTAAAGACCTTTCTTCTTCCGGTTGCAAAAGTAATAAATGGTCATTGTAATTCCAACTGTACATAAATGTATAACACAGAAGGCAAATGTCCCTGTGATCTCATCTCAAAATAAGCGAGGTTGATTCTTTTGGCTATTTTTTCACGCATAGACCTATCTACGCATTCACATAAGCAGCAATGGGTTCCTTCCCCACACGTCACTCCTACCGTAAATATCCTGAAGCTCTCCTGACCCCAAAACCCTTTGGTGGTTTTTCCGTTGATTGAATGATAACTCCATACTTATGCATCCATGTACACGTCTATATCAAAGGTCTAATGTTCTATAAGAAAGGCTTTTACAAAAGCATTCTGTAGCTGTTATCAGCTCATTCTACAATACTGATAGAACTTGTGTTCCTCCCTAATTTTTTGCTATTATGATGTTACACTGAGCAATCACCCTGAATCTCAGGGTATTTCAAAGAAGCACGGGAAAGATGATTTATCTAATGGCATTGGGAGACCAGTGCCTTAAACTTTGAATGAATCCAACCTGGTCAGGCCAGCCTCCAGGGCAATATTAGAGAAGCATATTCTTGTTGGAAGTTCCCATCTAATGGGAAGCTCACGAGTGGAACTGATGTCTGCAGAACATATCTAAGCAAGTAGAGGAGGTTGAGGAGGGGGAGTTAGTTCAGCCAATAGATGGCTGCCGTTCCACCTGTAGGGAGGCCCTGCAGAGACAAAACTCAGTTTAAAGGTGTCATTCCATCCTGGTGCTACCAATAATAAGCATGGAACCTTCAGCCATACTTAGTGTGTGATCATAGAGGATCCTCTTTTTCTTTCATATGCTGTTCCTGTCTATCTCAATGCCTTTTTTCTTTTTTTTTTTTTGCTTTTCATGTTCTGTTGCCCCAGCTGGAGTGCAGTGGCACGATCTCACCTCACAGCAACCTCTGCTTCCAGAGCTCAAGTGATCCTCCCGCCTCAGCCTCCTGAGTAGCTGGGACTGCAGGTACATGCCACCATGCCTGGCTAATTTTTGTATATTTTGTAAAGAAGGGGTTTTTCCATGTTGCCCAAGCTGGTCTCAAACTCCTGGGCTCAAGGGATCCACCCACCTTGGTCTCCCAGAGTGCTGGGATTACATCGCATTGTATAGCGACACAGAATCTCACTATATCACTCAGGCTGGTCTTGAACTCCTGGGCTCAAGCAATTCTCCTACCTCAGCCTTACCTGGGACTACAGATGCACACCACTATTCCTGGCTGATTAAAAAAAAATTTGTTAGAGATGGGGTCTTGCTAGGTTGCCTAGGCTCAGAGCATTGTATTTCTGACACCTTTGGTTTATAGCAATCCAAATATCCAAATCTTTTTCTAAAACACATGGACATGATGAGCTTTTTCATCTAATTTTTATTTTAGAGTCATTTGCTTCCCCATCCCAAATTAACTATGAAAATTATGATTTTGAAGATGCTGTGCCCACATGTGGAGGTGACTCAGAGCTGGGAAACTCAGAAGCTCTTACTGAGCCTCCATACAGGGAAAGTCTGCAAGATGGTGACTGACAGTGTAGCAGAAATTCACTTGCTATTTAAGTCTCTCTTGAGATTTATTCTTGGAGGACAGAGCAAAAGTCCATTCTGAAAGACAGAAGGAGTCAATGAATGAGGTTATTCTGGAGGTTTTTCTTTTGTAGATACTGGCCTTCCCACTTCCTAGTGAATATCTGTACCCGGATATCACAGTGGATCTCAAACCCAAGGCGTCCAAAAGAAAAATTAGCTCCCTCTCACAGTCAGCTTTTCTTTTGGACTTCACTTAGTGATAAAATCATTTGTCTCCCGTTACTCAAACCCACGAGCCAAGTTCTTCTTTCTTAGTCCCTTTCCCATCCATTCCTTTCTCTTTCCATTTCTTCCTCTCTAGAAAAAATCTTTATGATTTCATTCTAGTGATAATTTCTTGAGTGTCACTGTGACGCCTTGTGTTGGGTCCTGGTCTCACAAAGCCTAGTCATTCTCAGGACAGGAATAGTGGGCTGTGGACATGCAGAGGAGAGATGGACCATGGACTGGGGGGCCTGGAAATGTCAGGGGGCCCAGATGAGCTGGGCCTTGAGTAGGTGTCAGGTAGAGGATGCAGGGGAGTGGTTGCAGGCATCTGTCTTCAGCTAGTTTATTTTTAGCTTCTTACATCTCTCTTGACCTCAGACCCCTTTGCCTGCATTTAAAGTTCCTGCACTCGTTTACTTGCATTTAAAGTTCTCCACCATCAGGAACAATCTGTGCCCCTAACTTTGTCACCCATATTTTGAACATTTAGCTCCTTATAAATCATGCTGTTGAATCCTAATGGGAGCTCTTCACATTTCTGCTGTTAAAAGTTTCACTTCTCCTTCAAGGATTTAAACCCGTCACCTATCTGTCCCTTGTCATGATACTACCTTCAGCAGCTCTAACAGGGGCTTTCCTCCGTAACATATACTCCGTTTCCAGTTCTTTGTGTCTCTTCCTTTTCCTTCAATTTCAAATTCTTTTGGTGTGAGCCAAGCTCCCTTCTCATTCTGAATGCACTTCGTTGAGGATCCTGTAAGAAAACGACAGCCCGTTTTTGGATCTACCCCCATCCTCTGTGAATTCACCCCAAACCTCTGAACTCCTAATTGTGGCCTTCTACCTTTCTGGGTCAAGCGAGACTTCCTCTGTGAGGTAGAAATAGTAGCAGGGGAGTCTGGATGCCTCTTCTCTTAGACTGAAGGCAGCCCTAAAGCCTGACTGAGAGGTGAGGGGGTGGGAAAGAATTTGCATTCATGTGGTACCTACATGCAGCAAGGACATGGCTGTCACTACTGCAGCGTCCATAGGTGACTTCTAGGTGGGAATGGAATGGTCTGGTTGCCGGAAATATCATGATGTGGAAGGGTTTGGAAATTCCCTCCAAGGAGGTGTTTCTTCTTCTGCAGTCTAGCTAGCAGGTCCATTTCCTAATCAATTATACACACAGGTATTTTCCTCCCTTCTAGTGATTCCTTCATCTAGGGATTCCAAAGAGCAGAAGACCAAGGAACTCACCGTGTTTCATTTTCTCCTTATATAAAATCCCTTTTGCCTCACCACAGGTCACAGAGAGCTCAGACCAGTGAAAATCCACAGTGTCACTTTTGGGTTTTTCTGAAAGTAGAAGAGAACCGTTTGGTGTTATTCAGTCTTCATTCCATCTTCCGTTTGGATTCTCCCCTCCATGAATTCCAATCGTGCACAGGGTTTTGGGGAACATTTCCTGGTTAGTTTGCAGGAAATCTTCCATCTCGAGTGGCAGATAAGCTATGTATACACGGCGACCTGCAATAAATCACCACCACCACCGCCACCAACGCTACAGCAAACAGAACATTTCAGTAGAACATACAGGGCTTCTTGAGTGAATGCGTCTCAATTTGCAAGCTGACGTGCATCACCTAATCAGCATCTCTTCTACAAGCATCATGTTGATCTCTCTGTGCTGATGGAAGTTGCCTACTAAAATATTTCTTTGCATTCATTTTGCCAGAGGGGAAAAAAATCTTCACTTATGATCTAATTTCCTGATTCAAATGAAGACTTGGGCGAGTGAGGTGGCTGGCGCTGGGGGGATGGTGTCAGTCTTCATTATTTGCTGTTTCTTTTCATTCTAGTGCTTCCCTGTTGCTTCCTCGATGAATAAAAGAAAACCCTGGAGAGCACTGAACTAATTTCCCAGTTGCTCATGGAGAGGTCTGGCAACCCAGAACCCCTGGGTAGAAATCGGGGGTTTAGATTCAGGAGAAGCAGTTGTAAGAGGTTTTAAAATGAATATCAGTAATTCCTGCTGCCTTCTCCTCCAACCTCACTGTGGGTGAATTCATGAAACAGAGACAGCAGGGACTGTTTCTCTGGGGAGAAATGAAGGGGCTGTCTGTGTCTTATGTTGAGTTACAGAGGATGTTACACCTAAAGTAAGTCCAGGAGAACATCTGGTCCAACTCTCTCCCTTGCCTCAAACAGTTATTGAAAGAGCTAAAGGAAAACAAATGACAAAACAAGAACATTGATGGAAAGAGGAAGGAAGAGAATCAGTGGTGAAGAAGCCATTCATTTCTCTGGAAAGATACAAGGCAGATAGTCAGACTGAGAGAGGAGGGACCCCTGAGAGGTGAGCATGTGACCCCCCAAAGAGTCCCACAGGATGCCTGGCCTCATAGGAGCCGGGGCTGGCAGCAAGGCCAGGCATGGGGGTGGAGGGTAGGGGTGTGGGAACTTAGGGTGGGAAAAACTTGGCTTCAACAGCCAGCCCTCTAGCATGGAGTGGCCAGCTCCACCATTTGTCTCTAGACTCTACTCGGTAAATATGGCACAGCAGATGAGAGCATGGCTTCAGGAGCCAGACTCATGGGGTGGGGAGGGGTGCAGGTGGGAGGGGCTTGTAATCCTGGCTCTGCAACTTACTAGAAGGATTACCTAAGTGTGCATTACTGTTATCAAATTTGAGTGGGGAATTTGCAGGTTCCTAATGTGAGTGAAAGGCAGAGCTCCAATTGACTCCGGGCCGCTACTGCAAACCTTGAGGGAGATTAGCACAGCTATGGGGACCTTCTACAGTTCTCTGTCTCCACAGAAATGTCTTCTCTAATCCCCTGTAGTGAATATAGATTTAGGGAATATGAATGTCCCCAAAGCATTTGCAAGCAGATGACAGAGCAGGGGGTGGATTTGGGGGCCACAGGTAGCAAGCTGACGTGCAGAGTCATGGACATAAGCATCAGTCCCCTCCTCCAGTGGAGGCAGGTCATCAAGTGAGGTGGGGCCTTTAGACTTCCAAAGCCAACTGCCCTATGCCTGAGGACAGCCTTCTGGCCTGTTCCCAGTAGTTCTGAGTTTGGCTCAGTCTCACCTACTCATTTCAGCAACCAGGCCTTAAGGGATGGAGCCCTGCAGCAGCGGTGGATTCAGATCCCCATGAGGAAGTGTGAGCAGACAATGAGGAGCCTGCTGTGAAAAGCAAGCCATTAGAGAACAGAGAGCTCAGGGAAGGGAAAAGCACAATGGAGAAAATTAAGAAGAAAAGCCTAATGGAGACGAGGAATAGCAGCATGGCAAAAAACAAATTCATAATCCAGAAGACTAACTCCAGGAATTCCTACAGAGCGTAGGGAAGAAGCACATGATGGAGGTGATGCATGGAAAGACCACAGGCCTGGTGAGCGATTTGGGAGCTCTATGATGTATAAACGAGGGGTCTGGGGAGGGGATGGTGGGGGTGGAGACGGGGTGCCGGGAGGAAAAGTGATAGTCAAGGAAATAGTAAGAGCAGCAGGTGCGCTATGCCATCTATCCTCACAACAACATGTAAGAACGAGAAGGCAATGACTGTCCCCATTTTATAGATGAGGGACTTGCGCTCAGATATGGAGAGGGAATTGCTGGTGGTCACCACACTACATAGGGTGGAGCTGGCACTGGAATTTAGATATGCCAGACTCTGTATCTAGTGCTCTTTCCACATCATTAGAAATGCCGTGAGACTCCACATCATACAAGCAACAACAGCACAGACACCCTGCGTTTAGTGAGAAGTTACAGACAGAAGAAGCTGATGCTGAGGGACAACTGTCAACATTTGCCAGGGCTCCTGCCTCCACCAGTGTTCCAGAAAAAGACTAAGTGGCTTCTGGGTTCATCTACTTTTTGGTGTAAAGAAAAAAGGGCTTGAAATTGGAACACACAGGTTGATTTTAGCTCATTCAAGGCTTTCACCCTTTCATAAGATGGGCTGATAACACTCACTAATTATGGGAATTAAATGGCAAAATGTAGATCAAAGTGCTTTGCCAACTGTGAAGTAATGTATATTTTTATATGGTTATCAAGGACTCTGCATAAGGTTGTATGGGTTGTGCACTGAGCAAGGACTCTACCTTTAAGGGGTGCTTTGATTCATATTAGAAACAAAATCAGGTTACATGCTTAGTACAACAATCTTCCAGCAGAGGGCAGAGAAGGGTTTGTTTTCAAGAATTGGCTCTGACAGATGAGGTAGTGAATTGAGGAAGGGGCACCTTTTTCTAACCCAGCATGAATCAGATGGGTCCAGGTACTGGAATTCATGCTTGGTGAAGAAGTAGAACTGTGTGAGGCATGGGAGCTGGACATACAGCAATGAGCAAGACCCATTCACTTACTGACCTCATGTGACTTTCATGCAGTGAACAGGCTGTGCACAGATCATTTATTACAGTTGAGATAAGCACCATGAAGACAAAATGCAGGTCTCCACAAGGGCATGTCAGGGAGGCCTACCTCTGTCCTGCCTGCGGGACAGAGGATGCTTCCCTGTGGAAGTGACATTTAAGGTGAAGTCTGAGGGCAGAAATCTCATATCCAGAATACACAAGGAACTTAAATTTACAAGAAAAAAACAACCCACCCCTTTAAAAAGTGGGCAAAGGACATGAACAGACACTTCTCAAAAGAAGACGTTTATGTGGCTGACAAACACATGGAAAAAAAGCTCCACATTACTGAGCATTAGAGAAATTCGAATCGAAACCACAATGAGATACCATCTCTCGCCAGTCAGACCGGCCATTATTAAAAAGTTAAGAAACAACAAATGCTGACGAGGCTGTGGAGAAATAGGAACAATTCTACACTGTTCGTGGGAATGTAAATTAGTTCAACCATTGTGAAAGACCTCGTAGCAATTCCTCAAAGACCTAGAAACAGAAATACCATTTGGCCCAGCAAGCAATCCCATTAGTGGGTATATACCCAAAGGAATAGAAATCATTCTATTATAAAGATACATGCATGTGTATGTTCACTGCAGCACTATTCACAATAGCAAAGACATGGACTCAACCTAAATATCCATTAATTATAGACTAGATAAAGAATATGTGGTACATATACACCATGGAATACTATGAAGCCATAAAAAGGAACAAAATCATGTCCTTTGCAGGGGCATAGATAGAGCTGGAAGCCATTATCCTCAGCAAACTAATGCAGGAACAGAAAACTACACACCGCATGTTCTCACTTATAGGTGGGAGTTAAACAACGAGAACACATGGACACAGGGAGGGGAACAGCACACACTGGGGCCTGCTGGAGGAGCAGGAGGGAGAGCACCAGGATAAATAGCTAATGCATGCTGGGCTTAATACCTAAAGGATTGGCTGATAGGTGCAGCAAATCACCACGGCACACATTTATCTGTGTAACAACCTACTCATCCTGCACATGTATCCTGGAACTTAAAATAATTTTTTTTTTAAAGGTAAGATCTGAGGGTATATAGCAAAGAGAGGGAGAAGGATAGGGGGATTAGCTTTGGGGTGGGGTGGGTGAGTGGGAAGGCCTATGTGAGGAGGCCCTGAGCAGGAAGGAGGGAGGAACATTCAGTGTCTAATGACTGATGCTGTGAGGAATCAGGCTGGTGTAAACTTAGGGACGTGGGTAGGGGGTAGTTTATGGGAGTTGGTGATATCCTGTGTCTTGAGCTGGGTGCTGGGTATGTGGGTGCTTTTTCTGGGTGTGTGAATCCACCAAGCTGTACTCTTAGGATCCATGCATTTTCTGTAAGCACACACACCAGTGCTACTCAATGCTCCAACCTACAATGCGACAGGGGCTTGATCAGAGTCAAGGCGCTGCTGTCTCCACTGAGAAGCCTTGCTATGAAAACAGTGTGCTTAGCAGCACAATTGGTTTACACGCTCCTTATTCTTGTAGACCTGCAACCAACAGGCTTGTAGAAGGTACCAGTCTGGGGACCCCACCTTGGATAGCACCTATTATACTTCAATAATGAATAAAACGGGCCAATGTGGCTGCAAAGGGAGAGAGGGTGACAAGAAATGCTGCTGAAGAAGTGAGGTATAAAAGCAGAAGAGAAATGAATGCAAGAAGAGGGGCAGGAGGGAGAGGACAGAGATGCAAAGAGGCCTGAGGGTGCAGAGAGGCTGAAGCAAGCGCAGGTTCCCAACCAACGCAGGCAAAGGAGTGAGAACACTGTCAGGCTGTGCTTGGATAAGGGCTTCTTTTAATTTAATGGAGGATGTAGAAGTTTATTTTAGAACTTGACTTGTGGGTTTAGTGATCATCCTTAATCATTTCTGGGTCTTTGTATAGCTCTGTGTTAAAGAATCCTTCCAAGTATGGAAATAGCCACCAGGCACAAGGCGGTGGGTTAGGCTGGCAGCACTCCGGATGTGCCCAAATTCAGCTGGTACCCATGAGGGTGGAGAACAACCTCAGCGGAGAAGGACAAGGACAGTGGAAGAAAGGAGAGAGGAGAAGGGGAAGGTGGGTGGAGCCTTCAGCAGCGGCCAAGGCTCTGGGGAGCCCAAGGGGGAGGCGTTGCGGCTTGCTTACTTACTTCTTTGGTGAATGTTTTTCTGAAGTCTCCTTTTTGAACTTGAACAGATATCTTTTTCCCTTTTCTTTTCTAAAAACAGAATAATCACTTATAGCTACAAACATAAATTAATAAGCCCCATATGTTAACAACTTTAAAGTACTTTTTCCCGTTTTTTCTACCAGTTTGGAGAGACAAGTTACATATGAGCTGTTATGAAAGGACTTCCTTGTAGGATTGACTGAGGGAATACAGCAAGCTCATGTTAATTGCAGGAAAGCTAAAAATATTACAGAAGCCAAGTTTCCACTAATTAATATATGTCCATACATTTACTGCAAGTACTAGCATGAAGGGATGTATAGGAGGCCCCCCTTATCCACAGGGCATATGTTGCAAGCCCTCCAGTGGATGCCTGAAACCACGGGTAGTGCCCAGTCCTGCAGACACTATGTTTCTTCAATCCGATAACCAAGACAGCTACTAAACGACTGATGGGTAGGCTGCGTATTCAGCAGGACACACTGGACAGAGGGATGATTCACATCCCCGAGTGGGATACAGCAAGATGGTGCTAGACTTTGTATGCTACCCAGAACAACACACAATTTTTGACTTATAAATTGTTTATTTCTGGAACTTTCCATGTAATATTTTCAAACCGCAGTTGACTTCAGGTAACTGAAATCATGGAACACAAAGCCACTCATAAGGGTAGGCTACTGTATGGCCTTATAAATATCACATAGGGGCCAGGCACGGTGGCTCACGCCTGTAATCCCAGAACTTTGGAAGGCCGAGATGGGCAAATTATCTGAGGTCAGGAGTTCGAGACCAGCCTAGCCAAAATGGTGAAACCCCATCTCTACTAAGAATAAAAAATTAGCTGGGTGTGGTGGCACACCTGTAGCCCCAGCTACTCAGGAGGCTGAAGCAGGAGAATTGCTTGAACCTGGGAGGCAGAGGTTGCAGTTAGCTGAGATGGTGCCACTGCACTCTAGCCTGGGTGATAGAGTGAGACTCTATCTCAACCAATCAATCAATCAATAAATATCACATATGCAGGGCTTTTTAAGGAGGAAGTAACGGGCATAGAGCAGTGGTTAACACTGGGTGATTCTGCTCTCGGGATATCTGGCAATGTTTGGAAATCTTTTTGTTTGTCAGGACTGGGAAGCAGGTGCCACTGGCATCTAATGAGTAGAGGCCAGGGATGTTGCCAAACATCCCATGACACACAGGACAGCCTCCGAAGCAAATAATTATTTGGTCCAAAATGTCAACAATGCCAAAATTGAGAAACTCCGGCATACACCACGCTGCTACAGGTAAACTGATTTGTCTATCTAAATAAGAAAATGGCTCCACAACCAAAAGCTTCTTAAGTTCAAAGACAGAAGCAAAATAAGAAACGCTGCAATAATTATAACAAAGGGTTAATTACCCTAACTGATAAAACAAAAAATGACTAGTCCTATACAAAAATGGGCAAATTCAAACAGGTGACCCTAGAAAGAAAAAAATTCCAATGTCAATTAAAAAACAAAGAAACAGGGAAATTGGTAAAGGTAGGCTAGGTAATGCTGCGGTAATTCATGATTTTCCCAAATCTCAGTGGTTTATTACAGGTGTCAGCAAACTATGGTTGGCTGGGTGCGATGGCTCATGCTTATAATCCCAGCACTTTGGGAGGTTGAGGTGAGTGGATCATGAAGTCAGGAGTTCAAGACCAGCCTGGGCAAGATGGTAAAACCCCATCTCTACTAAAAATACAAAAAATTAGTTGGGTGTGGTGGTGGGCGCCTGTAATCCCAGCTACTAGGGAGGCTGAGGCAGGGAACTACTTGAACCCGGGAGGCAGAGGTTGCAGTGAGTCCAGATTGCGCCACTGCACTCCAGCCTGGGCGACAGAGCGAGACTCTGCCTCAAAAACAAACAAACAAACAAATAAATCAAACCAAAACAAACTATGGTCTAAGGGCTAAATTGGTCTACTGCCTGCTTATATAAATACAGTTTTATTGGAATACAGCCATGCCCATTTGTTTACGTATTTGCCCCTGGCTGCTGTCATGTACAAAGGCAAAATTGAGTAGCTGCATCTTCTGGTCCTTTTTGGAAAAAGTTTGCCAAGCTCTGATTTACAACAACAAAGGTTTACTTCTCTCTCATGCTGTTGTTTCATCATAAATTAGACGAGGCTCAGCCCTACATCACTGACACTCACGGCTCCTGGAGACAGAGCAGCCTCTGTCTAGAACATCCCTGGTCTTGGGCAGAGAGAAAGAAGACAAATAAACTCTGAAAGCCTTGGCCTGAAAGTGGCTCTCTAACTTCAGTCCACACTTCTTTGGCTAAGTTATCACATTGGCATTCCTGAGTCCACAGGGGAGGGCTGTGAACTTCTGAGGAGGTGGGGCCCTGGAACACTGTAGAACCATAATACAACCTACCACAGCATTTGATCACCTGCCCAGTGCAAAGAAATTCAAAGGGAAACACCAGTGAAATATCACTCTTCACCTTTGTCAGTCATCATAGAAATGTCTTGTTATTTCTAGTGTTGGTGAAGGTGGAGGGAAAGGGTGTACTATATCATGTTAATGGGAGTATAAACAGATAATTTAGGCAATTTGACAACAAATATGTGCTAATTTAAATATGCAAACTCGACCAAGCAACTTCAGTTCTAGAAATGAACCATTAAAAAATAATCCTGCAAATGTGTCCACTTTGAGGATTGGTGCCACTTCCAAGAATGGGTTGGCCAGAATCAGAAAGGAGTCTCCCAAACTCAAGAGAGTTGTGATAACTCTAATAATAGAAATAAAAACAGCACACACTGTGGGGAGTGGTCACATAAACCCACATGGCAAAGCCAAGGCAAACTGCACTCCAAGAACATTTATTCCCACAACCACTGTCACAGCAACAGATCCGTGCTCTGTCTTCATGTCCCTCTTGTCTGTACGTCTCGCTCCTTCTGCTATTGACTTTATATCTCTATCTGGCCCTGTACATGCTCCAAGAGCCCCTCCCACATTGAGTTATTCACATAGCAGATTCCATCATTAGCCTTACCTTCCGATCTGGACTTTTGGGTACATTCATTTCTTGCCTTTTGGACCCTCGTCATGACCTTTGAGTTCCAGGCTGAGCCATCTTTCCTTTGAGTCACCTTATCCACCACTTGGAGCTTCTCTTGGATGTCATGCCCAGGTGAGGTTGCCCCTGCACCAAATAGTGACTTGTGAATAGTTGAGTGAGCTCCCTTCTCATGTTCCCAGCCCCTACCCTTTCAGGAGTTATCTTGCCATTTCTCTACAATTTTCGCTTTTCTTGTATGTACCTTTCTTCTCCCCCAGATTCACAATACTTCCTATTTCTCTTTTTCAAGTCCTCATTTTGTCTATTAATTATAGGTGTATCAATTAGAATGCAAGCTCCACTGGTGTAGGGATTTGTGTCTGTCTTGCTCACTGCTGAGTTCCCAGGACCTAGGACAGATACCTGGCCCACATCTTACCCTCAGTCTATCCTTGCTGAATGAATGTATAATGGGCACTACATTTTTAAAAATATTAAATGTATTTTTCTTTTTAAATTTTTTTATTTCAATAGCTTTTGGGGTACAATTAGTTTTTGGTTACATGGATGAATTCTATAGTGGCAACGTCTGAGGCTTCAGTGAGGTCTTCATCTGAGTAGTGTACATTGTACCCAATATATCTTTTTTTTTTTTTTTTTTTTTTTTTTTGAGACTGAGTTTCGCTCTTGTTACCCAGGCTGGAGTGCAATGGCGCGATCTCGGCTCACCGCAACCTCCGCCTCCTGGCTTCAGGCAATTCTCCTGCCTCAGCCTCCTGAGTAGCTGGGATTACAGGCACGCGCCACCATGCCCAGCTGATTTTTTGTATTTTTAGTAGAGATGGGGTTTCACTATGTTGACCAGGATGGTCTCGATCTCTCGACCTCGTGATCCACCCGCCTCGGCCTCCCAAAGTGCTGGGATTACAGGCGTGAGCCACCGCGCCCGGCGATATATCATTTTTTTAATCCTTCATCTTCCCTTCCTCCTGAGTCTCCATAATCCATTATATCACTTCAAGTATTACATATCTTAATACTGTATGTCTTCTAGTACTAATATCTTATCTCTGACTTATAAGTGAGAACATACAGTATTTGGCTTTCCGTTCCATTACCTCACTTAGAATAATGGCCTCCAGCTCCAATTAAGTTGCTGCAAAAGACATTATTTCATTCTTTTTTATAGCTGAGTGGCACACCATGATGTATATGTACTGCATTTTCTTTACACATTCATTGGTCAATGGGCACTAAGGTTAGTTCTGTATCTCTACAATTGTAAATTATGTAGCAATAAACATATGTGTACAGGTGTCTTTGTTATATGATTACTTTTCCTTTGGGTTGATACCTAGTAGTGGGGCTGCTGGATTGAATGGCAGACCTACTTTTAGTTCTTTAAGAAATCTCCATACTGTTTTCCATAGAGGTTGTACTAATTTGCACTCCCACCAGCCATGTATAAACATTCTTTTTTCACCACATCCATGTCAACATCCATTTTTTTTTGGACTTTTTAATAATGGTCACTTTTACACGAGTAAGGTGGTATCTCACTGTGGTTTTAATTTGCATTTCCCTGATAATTAGTGATATTGAGCATTTTCTCAGATGTTTGCTGGCCACTTGTATATCTGCTTTTGAGATGTGTCTATTTATGCCATTTATCTACTTTTTGATGTTTTTCTGTAATGTTTGAGTTTCTTGTATATTCTGGATTTTAGTTCTTGGTTGGATACATAATTTGTAAATATTTTCTCCCATTCTGTGGGCTGTTCGTTTACTTTGATGATTATTTTCTTTGCTACAAAGAAGCTTTTCAGTTTAATTAAGTCCTATTTATTTATTTTTATTTTTGTTGCATTTGATTTTGGGGTCTCAGTCACAAACTCTTTGCCTAGGCCAATGTCCAGAATAATTTTTCCTAGGTTTTCTTGTAGAATTTTTATGGTTTCAGGTCTTAGGTTTAAATTTTTGATCCATCTTGAGATGATTTTTGTATAAGGTGAGAAATAGGGATCCAATTTTATTCTCCTACATGTAGCTAGCCAGTTTTCCCAGCACCATTTATTAAATAGGGTGTCATTTCCCCAATTTATGTTTTTGTATGCTTTGTTGAAGATCAGTTGGTTGTAAGTATTTGGCTTTATTTCTGAGTTCTGTTCCATTGGTCTATCTATCTACTTTTATAACAGTATCATGCCATTTTGGTAACTAGAGCCTTGCAGTATAATTTTAAGTCTGGTAATGTGATGCCTCCAGATTTGCTCTTTTTGCTTAGGATTGCTTTGGCTATGCAGGCTCTTTTTTGGTTCCATACAAATTTTAAGACTGTTTTTTTTCTAATTCTGTGAAAAATAGTGTTGGTATTTTGATAAGAATTGCATTCAATCTGTAGATTGCCTTGGGTAATGTGATCATTTTCATGTTGATTCTTCCAATCCATAAGCATGGGATGTGTTTCCACATGTTTGTGTCATCTATGATTTATTTTAGCAGTGTTTTGTAGCTCTCTCTGTAGAGATCTTTCATCTCCGTGGATAAGTATATTCCTAGGTATTTTATTTTATTTTGTTGAAGATGTTGTAAAAGTGATTGAATTCTCGATTTGATTCTCAGCTTGGTCACTATTGGTGTATAGCACTGCTAATTTGTGTACATTTGATTTTGTAACCTGAGACTGTACTGAATTCATTTATCAAATCTAGGAGTCTTCTGAAGGAGTATTTAGGGTTTTCTAGGTATATGGTCACATCATCAGTGAACAGTGATACTTTGACTTCTTTTCCAATTTAGGTGTCATTTATTCCTTTCTCTTGTCTGATTGTTCTGGCTAGGATACCTAGTACTATGCTCAATAGAAGTGGTGAAAGTGGGCATCCTTGTCTTGTTTCAGTTCTCAGGGGAAATGCGTTAGACTTTACCCATTTATTATAGTGTTGGCTGTGGGTTTGTCATATATGGCTTTTATAACTTTGAGGTAAGTCCCTTCTACGCCTAGTTTGTTGAGGATCTTTATCTAAAGGGATGCTGGATTTTATCAAATGCTTTTTCTGCATCTATTGAAATGATCTATGGTTTTTAATTCTGTTTTTGTGATGTACCACGTTTATTGACTTGCATGTGTTAAATCATCCCTAAATCCCTGGGATTAAATCTACTTGATCATGGTGTATTATATTTTTGATGGGCTGCTGGATTAAGTTAGCTAGCATTTTGTTGAGGATTTTTGCATCTATATTCATCTGGTGTGTTGTTTCTTTGTCATGTACTTTCCTGGTTTTGACATCAGGGTGATACTGGAGTCACAGAATGACTTAGAGAAGATTCCCTCTTAATCCTTTGGAATACTTTCAGTAGTACTGGCACCAATTCTTCTTTGAATGTCTGGTAGAATTCAGCTGTGAATGCATCTGGCTCTGGGCTTTTTGGTTGGCATTTTAAAAATTGCTGATTCAATTTCACTGCTTGTTACTGGTCTGTTTATGGTTTCTATTTATTCCTCATTTAATCCAGGAGGGATATATGTTTCCAGGAAATAAGTAAGACAAGAGAAGAATTGAAGGAGATAGAGGCACGAAAAATCCTCCAAAATCAATGAATCTAGTTTTTTTTTTTTAATTTAACAACATAGACCTCTAGCCAGATTAATAAAGAAGAAGAGAGAGAAGAATGAAATAGACACAATAAAAATAATAAAGGGGATATAATCAATGATCCCACAGAAATACAAACTATCATCAGAGAATACTATAAACACCTCTACACAAATAAACTAGAAAATCTAGAATAAATGGATAAATTCCTGAACAGATACATCCTATCAAGACTAAACCAGGAAGAATTTGAATCCCTGAATAGAAATAACAAGCTCTGAAATTGAGGCAGTAATTCATAGCCTACCAACCAAAAAAAAGTCCAGGACCAGACGGATTCACAGCTGAATTTTATCAGAAATACAAAGAGGAGCTGGTACCATTCCTTCTGAAGCTATTCCAAACAATTGAAAAAGAGGGACTCCTCCTTAACTCATTTTATGAAGCCAGCATCATCCTAATACCAAAACTGGGAAGAGACACACCAAAAAAGAAAATTTTAGGCCAATATCCCTGATGAACATCGATACAAAAATCCTCAATAAAATACTGGCAAACCAAATCCAGCAGCTCATCAAAAAACTTATCCACCATGATCACAACGGTTTCATCTTTGGGATGCAAGCCTGGTTCAACATATGCAAATTAATAAGAGTAATCCATCACATAGACAGAATCAAAGACAAAAACTACATGATTATCTTGATAGGCGAGGAAAAGGTCTTTGATAAAATTCAACAACCCATCATGTTAAAAACTCTCAATAAACTAGGTACTGGTAGAACATACCTCAAAATAACAACAGCTATTTATGACAAACTCACAGCCAATATCATGATGAATGGACAAAAGCTGGAAGCATCCCCTTTGAAAACTGGTACAAGACAAGGATGCCTTCTCTCATGACTCCTCTTCAACATAGTATTAGAAGTTCTGGCTAGGGTAATCAGGCAAGAGAAAGAAATAAAGAGTATTTGAATAGGAAGCGAGGAAGTCAAGTTGTCTCTGTTTGTAGATGAAATAATTATATATTTAGAAAACTCCATAATCTCAGTTCAAAAACTTCTTGAACTGATAATCAACTTTAGCAAAGTCTCAGGATACAAAATCAATGTACAAAAATCACAATCATTCTTTTACACCAACAATAGGCAAGCAGAGAGCCAAATCATGGTGAACTCCCATTTCACAAGTACTACAAAGAGAATAAAATACCTAGGAATACAGCTAACAGAGGATGTGAATGACCTCTTCAAGGAGAACTACAAATCACTGCTCAAGGATATAACAGAGGACACAAACAAATGAAAAAACATTCTACCTTCATGGATAGGAAGAATCAGTATAATGGAAATGGCTATGCTGCCCAAAGTAATTCATAGATTCAATGCTATTCCCATCAAACTATAATTTCAATGTCTAAAAATTTATTGAGACTTCTTTTGTGGCCTATCATATGGTCTATCTTGGAGAACATTCCATATGCTGATGAGAAGAATGTAATCTTCTATAAATATCTATTAGATCCATTTGTTCTAGAGCGTAGTTTCTTTGTTGACTTTCTGTCTCAATGATCTCTCTAGTGCTGACAGTAGAATACCGAAGCTTCCCACCATTATTGTGCTATTGTCTATCTCTTTTCTTTAGGTTTAGTAGTAAGTATCTTAAGAATCTGGGAGCTCCAGTGTTAACTACATATAAATTTAGGCTTGTAATATCTTCCTGTTGGATTGATCCTTTTATCACTATATAATGACCTTCTTTGTCTTTTTTTTGTTTTACCTGTTGTTGCTTTAAAGTCTATTTTATCTGATATGAGAAAAGCTACTCATGTTTGCTTTTGATTTCCATTTGCATGGAATATCTTTTTCCACCCTTACACCTTGAGTTTATATAAGTCCTTATGTGTTAAGTGAGTCTCTTGAAGATAGCAGATATTTGGTTTCCAACTTTGTATCCATTCTGCCAATCTATCTTTTAAGTGTAACATTTAGGCCAATTTATGTTGAACATTAATATCAAGATGTGAGATATTGTTCCAGTCATCATGTTAATTATTACCTACTTTGTTTTCTTCATTGTATTACTGTTTTATAGACCTTGTGAGTTTTATGCTTTCAAGTTTCTATTCTGGTGCGTATCTTTTGTTTCAAGATTTAGAACTTCTTTTGGCATTTCCTATAAAGCTGGTCTGGTAGTGAGAAATTCCCTGAGCATTTGTTTGTCTGAAAATGACTTTATTTCTCCTTCTTTCATAAAACTTAGTTTTGCCAGATACAAAATTCATGGCTGAGAGTTATTCTGTTTAAGGAGGCTAACGATAAGACTCCAATCCCTTCTAGCTCGTAAGGTTTCTGCTGAGGAAGTATGTATTTTTCATTCTTGCAAATAGTAAAGATTTCCCTATTACATCAATAGGTTTCAGGGAAAGGGCAGATGCTGGCTACAACCGAAAAGCCACTGCTCAGTGGAGGCCATTGACAAGCTGAGACAAAATCTTGAAGCACCGTATTTGTTGAGAGCAAAGAGGAATTTGTAAATTCCAAAAATTACCTGTACATATCAAAAGAAAAGCTTGAAGGTCTGAATGTCAAGTTCTCCTATAAGTCATCAGTAGTGAACGCTCAGCAAATGACAAAGAGTATGTTTCCTCCAGCCTAGGGAGGCAGTGGGGTGGGGAACCAGGAAGAAGAGACCAGGAAGGAGAAGAGCAAGCGTGCAGATATGACTTCCATTCCAGGCCAAACCCCTAGATTGAGGAATGCTGGAACAAGCAGAAAATTGGAGGGATTTCCAAAGCAGTGAGCCTCGTGTCCTAATTCATGTTTGGGAGCTGGGATGAGATCCCTTCCCAGGCTGGCTCCTATAAGGGCACAAAATCCAAGAGAATCTCCACTGACTGGCGTATCTTAGACCCTTGGTAAATCATTTTGAGTAAAAGAATAAATAAAAAGGGGCCAGGTGCAGTGGCTCACACCCATATACCAGCACTTTGGGAGGCTGAGGCAAGAGGATTACTTGAGGTCAGGATTTCAAGACCAGCCTGGGCAACATAGCAAGACCTGGTCTCTACAAAAAATTTAAAAAATAAATGAAAAAAAAGAAAAAGGGAAAAAGAAGGAAACAGATAAAGGGAAGAGAGAGAATACAGAGGAGAAAAAGAAAAGTGGAATGAAGCAGAGGGACCAGAAAAATGCAGCTTTTTTTGTTTCCTATTCTGCAAGTAACACAGTTTGTGCACTGGAGTAGACACATGCATGTAGGCAGATAAGCAACCATGGGTTGACTGAGGTAGTTCTGAATACTCTATGACTCCAAATCTAATCCCAGTTGGGAACTGAAAGTTTGATCCTGCTTGGGGATTTAGGTTTCTTGAGCCTATTCTTCTGGTCTCTGACCCTGGACAGGAGACAATCCTGATCTCAAAATTGTCTGATGCCTCATGTCCGTCTCAACCTCATTCCTTCCCTATGATAAGAGGGAAGAAGGCTAGGTATGAACCAAATTGGTGTTAGGTTCTCTCTTCCTTTGTGGGGGAGTCTACTAAGGGAGTGGCCTAGAGGGCGAGGTTGGGGCTGGCTGTGCTCCAGGCATAAGTGAGTGGCCATGTGGCTGGAGAGGAGGTCATGCCAGCTGGTCAAGTGAGGGCCCTGATAAACACCAAGGGAGTAGCCACTTTATTTTTCTTGCTTACCTCTTGGGAGTTTTTTTTTCTGTTTTCTTTTTGAACTTGACAGGCCATATTCTTTTCTCCTCTTTTCTAAAAAAGAAAAAAGAAACACATCTTTTATGGCTACAAATATTGATCTACAAGCTTGCAATGTCAATGCTTTTTTAAGTAAATTTTTTCCTGTTTTTCCCTCACTTTGTGAAGACAAGAAAACCATGTGACCTGTGTGAAAAAAGTACCCCATTTTACCTGGAAGTTGAATTTTAGGATTGAATAAAGATGAAACAGAAATATACTAGAGAACTAACATTTAAAATATGTCATTTAAATTTATTATTTTTGGGGTGGGGGGCAGAGTCTTGCTCTGCTGCACAGGCTGGAGGGCAGTGGCATGATCTCAGTTCACTGCAATCTCCACCTCCTGGGTTCAAGTGATTCTTGCACCTCAGCCCCCTGAGTAGCTGGGATAACAGGTATACATTACCATGCCTGGGTAGTTTTTGTATTTCTAGTAGAGATGGGATTTCACCATGTTGGCCAGGCTGGTCTCGAACTCCTGACCTCAAGTGTTCCTCCTTTCATGGCCTCCCAAAGTGCTGGGGTTACAGGCATGAGCCACCGTGCCCGGCCCCCATTTAAAAATTAATAAGCAGTTTTTCAAGACTAGAGAAAGATTGTTATAAGTCATGGATATGAAAAGGTTTCCTAGCCAAAATTCAAGGCCAGAAATTATGCAGTTAAGAGATGAACAGATTTGAATGTTTAAAAAATTAAAAATGTACAGAAGGAGGAGGATTGAAAAAAACAGTTTACACTTCAAAAAACACCCCGACAATATTAAAGCAAAAACAAAATTTAAACATACAAAACATATAGGTTAATATCTGTATTAGATAAAGCAAAAGATGAAGGTACTCTAGGAAAATAAGCAAACAACGTAAGTTAAAAATGCTCAAGGAGGAAATGAAGTTGACAAATTTATTTAGAAATCATCTGTATGTTACTAATAATCAAAGAAACTTATTGCCTGGATGTTAAGGATACCTAAACATTAAACAGTTTTATCACATCCAGTTTTGAAAATGTAGGAAATGAACACTCATACATTGTTAAAGGGAACATAAATCATTGGGTTTTCTGGACAGCAAATTGGTAGCATGTATAATGAAGACATAGATTTTAATCTAATAAGCTTGTGTTTAAGAATCAATTTTAGGGAAATTATTGGATAAGCGTGCAAAGATACAAACACGCACAAACCTAATTTCTATTGTCATAGAAAAATAAGAAATACGGCTGGGGAGGAATAGCATTAGGAGAAATACCTAATGTAGATGACAGGTTGATGAGTGCAGCAAACCACCATGGCATGTGTATACCTATGTAACAAACCTGCACCTTCTGCACATATATCCCAGAACTTAAAGTATAATTTTAAAAAACTGTCCATTCGTAGGTGATTATTTAAACAAATTGTGGTGAATCATACAGTAATGTGCCATGTAGTTAAAAAATAGATAATATTGATACGGAGATATGCATATTAAATACACAATGAAAAAAGTGATTTGTAAACAACGCCATATAGTATGAGCTTATATATAAAAACAAAAAGGTATGCATACTTATAAGGTATAAAAATAAGGTGGGGGGGCTGGGCGCGGTGGCTCACGCCTGTAATCCCAGCACTTTGGGAGGCTGAGGCGGGTGGATCACGAGGTCAAGAGATTGAGACCATCCTGGTCAACATGGTGAAACCCCGTCTCTACTAAAACTACAAAAAATCAGCTGGGCATGGTGGCACATGCCTGTAATCCCAGCTACTCAGGAGGCTGAGGCAGGAGAATTGCCTGAACCCAGGAGGCGGAGGTTGCGGTGAGCCGAGATCGCGCCATTGCACTCCAGCCTGGGGAAAAAAAAGGAAAACCCCGCCCCAAAAAAAAAAAAAAAAAAAAATAAGGTGGGGGAAGCAGATTAAATAGATTCTGCCTTTGTGATTTATAATTTTCTTTTTCTCTGTTTTGAGACAGGGTCTCACTTTATTGTCAGGCTGCTTTCAAATTCCTAGGGTCAAGCAATTCTCCCGCACTGGCCTCCGAAAGTGTTGGGATTGGGGATGTGAGCCACCTTGCCTGTTCTGATTTACAATTTTCTACACTGAGGATTTTATTAGGGATGTTGTATCATACAGGACAGAGTAGGATGTGCTACAGTAACAATTGAAACCAAATTTTGCTGGCTTAACATAGAAAAGTGTATTTCTCTATTACACGAAGTTCTCTGTAGGACAACAGGACCCTCTGTAGGACTGGAAGTCTGCTGTGGTCCTCCGTAGGGCCCTCTAAGGGGGCACTGTCCCCTATGTGGTAGGTCATGCTGCTTTGGCCTTTTACGCCTCCCTCTTCCACACATTTCCACAGGCAGGAAAAGAATACAGAGAGCTTCGAAGGGCTCTTATGTGCTGTGACCCAGAAATGACATCCATCTCTCTGGCTTATTTGCTAGAGAGTATAATGGAGCTGCCTCCTGCAAGGGGGATGATAATGGAGCTTTGCAAGTGTCTGGGAAGGGGAGAAGAATCAGAAATAGAGGAAAGCAGTCACAATGCCCTCCCATAAACGTGCGCAGCGTGAGCACTGCTAGTTTTTCCCCTTTCTCTGGCCTCTCTATTTCCTTAGTAATAAAACCCCAATTCTGTGCCCCTTATTCTTACAGATTTAAGATTACAGTTCCCAGCCACCTTTGAAGTCAGGTGTGGCCATGCAACCAGTCCTGGCAATAAAATGATAGCAATTTTTTTTTTTTTTTTTAAGATAGAGTCTCGCTCTGTTGCCTAGGCTGGAGTGCAATGGTATGATCTTGGCTCACTGCGACCTCTGCCTCCCAGGTTCAAGCAATTCTCCTGCCTCAGCCTCCTGAGTAGCTGAAACTACAGGTGCATACCACCAGGCCCAGCTAATTGTTTTGCATTTTTAGTAGAGACAGGGTTTCACCATGTTGGCCAGGCTGGTCTTGAACTCCCAACCTGAAGTGATCTATCTGCCTCAGCCTACCAATATAAAATCATTAATGATAGAAAATTACTATCTGCAACCTGCATTTAGGGTCCTTCAATGAAGGAGGTGTGCCCTTCTTTGACTTTGTCATTTTCCCTTTAGCTGGAACATAGACTGGCTGGCTGGACCTCAATGAAGGGGATGCCACATGCTGAGGATGATGGAGCAACAAGCAAGAAGCAGCTGAGGACCCTCCAGTGTGTGACACCAGCTGTTGGCCGCCCACCTGTGCACACAAAATAATAGCTACTACTGTATTCTTATTTTTTAGTGGGGTGGGGTTTGCTGTCACATACAGCAACATAATCCTCTGTGTGTGTGTGTGTGTGTGTGTGTGTGTGTGTTTTCTTTTGAGACAGAGTCTTACTTTGTTATCCAGGCTGCAGTGTAGTGGTGTGATCTTGGCTCGCTGCAACCTCTGCCTCCTGGGTTCAGGCGATTCTCTTTCCTCAGCCTCCCATGTAGCTGGGATTACAGGCGTCACCATCAAGCCCAGCTAGTTTTTGTGTTTTTAATAGAGACAGCGTTTCATCATGCTGGCCAGGCTGGTCTCAAACTCCTGGCCTCAAGTGATCCACCCACCTTGGTCTCCCAAAGTGCTGGGATTGTAGGTGTGAGCCACCATGCTGGGCCAGCAACATAATCCTAATGGTTACAGCACACTGCTTTTAGAAAATTCCAGAAACTTTTCTAGGTTGAAAAATAGTTAAATCAGGATTTAAAAAAACATAAGGCTTTTTCTGGTTTGCATGTCTTTTATAGCCTAGAATGGTATAACAACAGTCAGAGTAACATCAATCCACACCACAGAGACCAAAGAGTTTCTTCTTTACACCTATTTTCTGCCCTGGGAGATTTTCCCAAAGAGGGTTTATTTCTATTATCCGTAGGATCTTGGAAGTAACGAAAAAGTAATTTTTGCATAAGCAGTTTTATATTTGGGAAAGAGTGAATTGACAAAGGTTTGACAGTATTCTTTCTGCCCCTTCCTTTCTCTGGAGAATGATGGCTCCTGAAAAGATTCCTGGGGACCAGGGTGTTAATCCTGTGGCAGCTAGCCCTTGCCCAGGGGATCTTGAAAAAAACTCATTAATCCTTTCCATGTCTCAATTTCCTCATCTGTTAAATTGGAATAAGTCATTCAACCTTCTCCAAGGGTGGTTGTGAGAAAAAAATAAAACTATCCATGAGAGAAGTTGAAATACTACTATATAAGCCAGTACACTAAAGGAGAAACTGTTAAAAATGATAATTTAGATTTTAAGGTGGTAAAATGTAATCAACTCTTCCTGATAAGTAGATATTTGTTGTTTGAAAATCATATTTATTATGTGAGAGTTCTGGATTTTTTTTGACAGTGACCATATCATCAGCTAACAGAAGAATATCCAGCTGTTTTCTCCCCTCCAGAAATGTGAATAACAGTGCTGATGGTGAGGGGAGAATTAACAGGCACAGTTTTACCAGCACATGCCCACAACACCACCAGGTGTACATGCTCAGTCATAGTGTTACATGTGTGTTTGTAATGAGTTTTTCTCTTCTCAATTTTCGCAGAAAGGCCACATGAGAAATATGGAGATTGGAATTCTAGGAAAAAGCTTGATCCATAGGTTGGACTTTGGACAAGCTGCACTTCCAGCACAGTCCCACAAATATACTTAGGACACACATTCTCAGTAGTGGTGACACTGCTGCCAGGAGCGCAAAACCTCGTTCTTGAGTGCTGAGAAAAATCTTATAAAGTGCAGATACACACACATACATATGTATGTATTACATAAAATGGACATACATTTGTGGTATTAAAATACCACGGGAAGGGTCTTGATTAAGAAAAAATATCTAGAAGAACTCTCTAGCACAGTGATAATTAAAAAGAAAGTTAAGAAATATTGCCTTAGAGTAAAACAGTTCTTAATTTAGATTCCTGGTGACTGTACTCTGAGATTAGTGATCTCCAAGTTTTACCTTGCTTGACCCTTGATGGTGTGCTAGGCGTCTCTTGGTTCCTCTTTCCTTCATTCATTTTTGAAGTGTCATCACTGATCTCTAGAAAAAGAAAATCTTAGTAAATACTCCTTGGGAAGCTTCATGGAGAATCTCCCAGAGACCCAAGAAGGTCCTTGCACACTCTAAAGTTGAGGCCTGGAGGGTCTAGGTCTTGCACTCCTAAGAATGCATCTACCAAGAGGTTTGGTGCTGCTCCTGACACTGCACCTGTCTGCCACTCAGGAGGAGCAGACCACAGTTGGTTAGCAGTGGTTTCTCTACCAATGGAGACATCCATAGTGGGGTACCACCATCTGAACTCCTTGGCCAAAGTCTCTCAAAGTAAGGTCTGTGAGCCCCTAGGGGGTCCCACACACCTTTTCAGAAAATTTGCAAGGTCGAAATTATCTTAATAATAAGATGTTATTTGCCTTTTTCACTATCTCGACCTTTGTACAGGTTGAATAAGAGCAATGGCAGGTAAAACTGCTGGTGCCTTAGGACGCATCAAAGCAGTGTCCCGAAACCTCAGCAGGAATCACTGCATTCTTCATTGTCACTTGCTCACTGTACCAAAAAAAAAAAAAAACAAAAGCAAGATTCACTTGAGAATCTTCTTGGTGAGCCAGTGAAAATTATTAATTTTATTAAATTTCTACCTTTGAGTACATATCTTACATCTTAATATTCTATGTGAAAAACTGAAGGATACATATAAAGCATTTCTATTACATCCTGAAGTACCACAGTGGCAGCAAGAAAACACTTGTGTGATTGAGTTAGGAGCTCATGGTATGATTCCAAATGCATATTTTCTAAACAGCTGTACTATTATAAAATCTTGCATTCATAGAAGATCCATTGAAAATGCAAGATTGATTTATGTATTTTATTGTAACAGTCTGAAGTTAACTGATATGGTTTCAAATTTTGCATTACAACTAGTGTTTAAGAAACTATCACTTGTTGGGTGTTGGTGTAGTATTAAAGATGAATATCCACAGATATCTCATAAGACTGTTAAATTACTTCACCCTTTTAAACTACGTATGTGTGTGAGGCTGAATTTTCTTTCTGTTCTTCAGTCAAAGCAACATATCTCAACTGAATGCAGAAACAGTTATAGGAATTCAGCTGTCTTTTTAATAAAGCTCACTCACAATCAAAGAGATTTGCACAAACATAAAATGATGTCACTCTTTTCACTAATTTTTTTTGTTTTGGAAAATATATTTATTTTCATAAAATAATGTTATTTATGTTAACAGCCAATTGGTTTATTGCTACTTTAAATGAATTAATATTTTTAAATTATTAATTTCTAATAAGGTACACATAGATTGACATAAACAACATAAACAAGAGCTCTTTAGGGTCCTCAATGATTTTTAAGAGCATAAAGGAGTCCTGAGACCGAAGAATTTGAGAGCTGCTGCCCCAGGCCGTAGCTGTCCCTGTGAACATGTCTGTTTCGTCCACAAAAACTTTTCAGATGCAACAGATGCTTGCTCTCTTTGTCCTTCTTGTCATACTCAATCCTCATTCTCTGTACTCTTTCCTTTCACTATTGACTTTACATATCTACTTAACCCTGTACTGCTCCAGGAGAGACCCTCCCACATTGAGCCATTCAAATGGCAGATTCCATCGTCAGCCTTACCTTCTGATCTAGACTTTCGGGCACGCTGAGTTCTCGCCTTCTGGGCCCTTGTCATTACCGTGGACTTCCAAGTTGAGTCATCTTTCTTTTGAGGAACCCGATCTACCACTTTGAGCTTCTTTTCGATTCCATGTCTAGGTGAGGCTGTCCCTGGACCAAATGATGACTTGTGAATAGTTTAAATTGGGGTCTTCCGTGACCTCCTACCATCCCAATCAGTGACTTCCCTTCTCCTCCCTCTAACTACCACCCTTTCAGATCTCTGTACCCCTGTACCTCACTTTTCTCCTGCCATTTCTCTATAATTATATCCTTCTTCTTACGTGCACCTTTCTTTGTCTCCCCAGATTACTATCTGCCCTCACTCCTGGTACGACCTGTTGTAGCCAACTAGATAAATCTGGGGAAGTTCTAGAGCAGTGGGTCTAATTTCCTGATTTTGGTTTGTGTCACCCTGCACCACAAGGTGGCCACACAGTCTCGTCTAAGTGGAGAGGAGGGGTCCTATAAAGTACCTCTTCAGGTTCCCCCAGGGCCCGTGTGTGGTACAGGAGACATCCAAAAGTTTCCAGATGCCTTCAGTGAGCAAAGTACAAGGTATTAAAAAATCTGAGAGGTAAGGTCCCTGCCAAGAAGGTGGGTATTGTGAGGGAGATACGGAAGGTGAGGCTGAGACCCAGAGGAGGCACAATGCCAGCCATGCAGAGGTGAGTTCACTTTGTTGTGAAAGAAAACACAATTTTCACTGTCTGTGGACTTTAGAAGCTGATCCCACAGGATGACCACTGTCCTGTTGAACAGGAATGTTTCTCTGCGGGTTAGAAAGGACACAGAGTGTGCAGCCACGCCTCCCGCAAGCAAGTGCCGGGATAGCCGAAGGCTGCTTCTGCAGGAAAAGGCATGGGTGAACCCTTAAGAGGCAGTGGAAGCGGAAGCCCTGTGAGACCCAGGCTGGCAGGAAGTTCAAACATGGAAGTTACTGAAAATTTATCCAGAAGAGGTGGGGAAGCCTGATAGTGCCTAAAACTTGCCTTGTTTTTTCCTTCTTCAGTTTTGAAACATCTTTTTAGGTGTTTCAGTATTTTAAAAAAATAATGATTAATTAAATGTAAAATGATGTGACTCTTAAAAATATCTCTGTTGGGCTGCAAGCAGGGAGGAATGGGGAGCTGTTGTTTAATGAGTACAGAGTTTCAGTTTTACAAGATAAAAAGAGTCCTGGAGATGGATGGGTGATGGTTGCACAGCATCGTGAATGTATCTTAATACCATTGAACCATGCGCCAAAAATGGTTGTGATGATACATTTTATGTCATGTGTATTTTATACCAATAAAAAATTGGAAAATTGGAAAAAAGAAAATTTAAAACACATCATCTGTCACATTTAAAATAAAATGGTTCCTTTAAAAAATCTCAAAAAATTCATTTAAATACAATATGAAGAAAGACAAACATGGAAGGGACTGGCATTTACTCCTTTTGGTAGCCTGGCAGAGAGGTGTCAGAAGGTCAGAGTTACCTGAACAGAACTGACCGTCTGACATGAGCCCCAGACTCCAGAGGTTTCCCTTTTCTAACAAGGTCACTTCTCTGACCAGGGAGTGTTCATAATTATATAGTTGCATGGACATTCCCAGTCCCCCTAACCCTGTAATGTGTAGGGCATTATGGGACTGGGCATCTCAGTACTGGACTGCTGGCCATGGGATGTGCAGACTATCTATGTCTGCCCTAAATGGGGGATAATAAGAATTTGCAGAACTGTAGTGGAAATTTCCCTCCAATAACCTTTAGTTTGTATCTACACCACGTGGTGCCCATCGTGTCTGTGACCCCATTTCATAACACAAATAATAGATACAAAAACTATCCTTTGTCAGATCATTATTCAAATTTTGGGTTGCAGAAAATATGATTTCTTTCCTTTTTTTCATTAAAAAATAATTAATAGCTCATTTGTACATGGGCATTACCATCTAGCCTAGAAGAGACATATTATATAAATAATCGTAACAGAGTATTTAGAATCTTCCAAAAGAGCCAGTGCTATGTGCTGTAGAAACTGTGGGACCAGCTTGGCTAATTTAAGGGTCAGAGTATGCATTCCTGAGGTAGTCATAAGCCAATACCACTGAGGAAAAGGAAATGACTAAATATTTATGGGGAGCAGTGTAGGTTCAGAATATAGCATTCAAAGAGAACAGCACATGCCAAGGATCAAAGGGGAGAGAAATGAAAGGGGAGGAAATGAAAGTTCAGAGTGGTTGACTGCAGTTTTGAAAGGAAAGAGATATATTAATAGTTGGAGGGTAAGGCAAGGGTTGGACTGGAGGGAGCTTTAACAATCACATTAAGGACAGAGAACATTATCCTAAGGGCAATAGGACAAGATTTAAATGTGGAAATAAACTAATCAGATTTTAGTGTAGAAAAGAGGGTGAACCAACAGAATTTGTCAATATACTAACAAGGGTTCAGTTAGTCACAGATGACTTAGGCTTTTGCTTGGCATCTGGGCAAATTAGGTTCCTCATTTCAAGTTAAATAACCTCTAAAATCCCCCAAAGGCCTGTGGAACCCTACATAATCTGATCCTTGTCTACTCTTTCACGTTCTACCACCTTCTTTCTTCAGCATCGCCAACAACACTGGTCTTTCCTCTCTGCCTCAGGTCCTTTGCATTTTTGAGTCCCTCTGCCTGGACCATCCAATCCAAAGTGACCCCCACCCCAACCTGCAAGTCACTGTTGTAATCCTATCCATTATTTTCTCTCATCCTGTCATCACTACTTGAAATTGTCTTGTTGATGCGCTTTCTAGTTGATATTCTTTCACTCCCTCAGCCAGGTTGCAAGCTCCATAATCTTTCCTTTCTTTTTTTGCTCACTTTCTTGCTTTCTTTAAAAACACCTGTCTTCCATTTTCAGAATGGGTATATACAGTTAGTGCTCACTGCATGTTTGCTGAATACATGTCTGAATGGTACTTAGAAGACTAGGTTTCTGGTGAAGAAGATGAATTTAATTTCAGGCGTATTGAGGCTGCAGTGTGAATGGGAGACTTGCAAACAAAGATGCCCAGTGTGCCGCTGGCTATGGGTGTCTTGAAGGCAAACCCGAGTTGAAGACGTAGATTTGGGAGCCATCAGTGTAGAGGTGGTAATCAAAGTTGTGAGAGTGGTTGACAAAGCTCAGGAGTGTGAGTTGAATAACCTGAGTAGTTTACACTAAACCAAGGAGGCTCATAGATAACACACACAACACGGTGAGAGGGCACTGACTTATAAGCAGAATGGGGGAGAAGGCAGCTTGTCTCTCCCTCTTGCCCAGAAAGGTCACTTACTTTTCTTAGAATGGAAACATTTCTTTGAAGTACCTTAAAAGGACACCAACCCTATGATTTTGGACACTGGGATCATGCTAAGGGTAAACTCAGGGAAAAGAAGCTTTAAGCCACTGGCTTAGGCTGCCATCTATTGCTCCATTTCCCTTTACAGCTCAAGTTGTCACCTAGTTACTACCTCCCATTCATTATTCTACCCATACAACTTGCTCCTGCCTCCATCACCAAAACTTTTCTTAAGTTTCCCAGTGATTCCTTGTGACCAAACCCAAGGCTCTTTTCTCTGAATTTATCTTCGTTTCTCTGTATAGTCAACTGTTCCCTCCTGGTTTGCTGACATGTTCTTTCTTGGTGCTTCTCTGTCCTCACTGGTCTCGTCCCCTCAGTCTGCCTCACTGGATTCCTCTTTCACTGGGATTTCTGAGAGCAGGGCTGGGTCCTTGGTTCACTTTTCTTCTCCCATAGATCAGAATTCCTTTATTTTACTAATAACTCTCTCTCTCTCTCTCTCTCTCCCTGTCTCTCTCTCTCACACACACACACACACAGAGATGTATGTATATCTGGACCAGACTCTTTCAATGAGTGCCAAATTGCCATATTGTGGGGGAATATAACTTCCTGATTTCTCAGTGTTCCTATAAAAAGCCCTGGCCCCTGAGATATAGAAATGTATATGATATAAATATAGGAAATACTTGCTTTCACTTCCCCGGAAACATTTCACTCTTCACATACCATGAGAATTAGAGCTATAGTTATTTTTCTAGTTAATTGCTCTGATCTGACAGGATAATACAACTTCTCTTATCTCCTGAGATGGCTAAATGGGTTCACCCAGGACTAGCTTCCTAGGTTAAGTCCTAAAGTACCAGGATAGCTGGAGCGGTCTTTCCCTAGGTATTTATATATCAGAAGGGAGAAAGCCCAGGACTTGGAGACATCTTTAGGTTGTAAAAGCCAGAAACACCTGGAGTTTCTCTGGCCTTTGGAAAGATGCTTTTAAATTCCAAAAGCTAGGATGAGGACCTTTGGAATCAAGATCTTTTCCATTTTATCTCAAAGCAGCAAAGCTTTTTTCTTTTCCTTTCAGGAGGAGAGGACGATGGCTATCCCTGTCATGTATCTGAACAGAAAATCCATTCTTCTACATCCCTTATATATGAGTTGCAGTCTATTTTGAATAGAAAGATTCCATTAGCTCTCTTAGCATTGCCTGTGGGTTTGTGTATGGGAGACAGATTCTGCAATGTGACTCTGGCTGATGAGCTGGTTGTGAATATCATCAGTAAAGAATTATTTTCCCTAATCCAGATACCTTGTGTTCCTGCAGCACTCATATATATAAAGGACATATCAATGCAAGTGGAGTAAGATCTCACACCCTTTACAGTTCTGGTCAAAACACACATCTATGTACAGCTGCGCAGATGGCTAGCAGAAACCTCTAAATGAACAGGTCAAAAACTGAACTCTAAGAGTCATCCCCCAATACATTTGCATTTTCCCTCAGCAATGGGTGTTACCACTTAATCATTCAAGCTAGCCATTGAAGAGCAGGCCTTGACTTTTCTCTTTCTCATCTGTAGCTAACAATATGTCAAATCCTGTCAACATTATCTGCAAAACAGATCTTGAATTGGCACTCTTTTCTGCATCTTCACTGCCAGATCTGAATCCAAGCCACTAATAACTCTCCTGGCATCTGCCCCCAAATGGCTGCCCTTCCTCCATTCTTTCGCAGCTCCAACTCACTCTTTACACAGTAGCAAAATTGAGCTTGGCTTCTGTCACTTCACTGACTAAATCTCTTCCATGGCTTCCCATTGCATTTAGAATAAAATTCAGCCATCCACAGCTTGACCTATAAGCCCTGCACGAGCTGTCTCCAGCCTCCGGCTTCTTCTTTCACTCTCATCTTACCTCTCGGGAGGCTTTTCTTCTTATGTCTCTTTTTTGGAGTTGACCAGATACATCTTTTACTTTTCTTTCCTAAAAAGGAAGGATAATGTTTTATAGTTACAAATATCGATCTGCCAATCTTACATGTCAACGATATTCAGCTTTTACTTTTGGCCTTCAAACCACATTGCTAGGAGGTCATTGGTGACCTTAGGTGATGCTATTTCAGGGAGCAGTAGGGGAAGAAGGAGTCTAAAATGACAGAGGAGGAGAAGTGAAGAAATGGAGACAGGAGTTTAGCTCATTTCTAGACATTTGGCTGTGAAATGAACGAGAGAGCTATGAAAGTAGCTGAAGTGAGGTGAGAATCAAGAAAAAGCATTTTTTTTTTTTTTTTTAGATGGAGTTTTGTTCTTTTTGCCCAGGCTGGAGTGCAGTGGTGCATTCTTGGCTCACTGCAACCTCTGCCTCCTGGGTTCAAGCGATTCTCCTGTCTCAGCCTCCCAAATAGCTGGGATTACAGGCATGTGCCACCACGTCTGGCTAATTTTTTTGTATTTTTAGTAGAGACGGGGTTTCACTACGTTGGCCAGGATGGTCTTGATCTCTTGACCTCACTATCCACCCGCCTTGGCCTCCCAAAGTGCTGAGATTACAGGCGTGAGCCACCACACCTGAAGAAAAAGCATTTTTTATGAGCTATGATATGTATAATTATTGTCTGAATGCAGATTCTTGTGTGAGAGATACTGCTATAAGAATACTTGAGAGAGAAGGGATCATGGATACTATAAGATGAGGTGGAAGGATTGTCTTAGAAGAGAAGGGGGAACTTGGAGAGGAGGGAGACAGATGCAGTTAGGGTTTGCAGGGCTAGCAGCACAAATAAAGGGATTCTCATCTGATATCTTCTTATGGTGCAGGAGGGAAAGTCATTGAGTGAGCAAAGAGCAGGAGGGGAGGGAGTCAGAGGTTTGAAAAATAGGGCTTAAGGTTTGAAAGGATTATGGCAGGAAGTAGCATTGTCACACAGTAGGGAGAGATGATCTGTGCTGGAACCATGAATTTCAGTGCGTGTGCTCTGCCCCGCTGTGGAACTCCCTCCAGCACTGCTGGCTTTCAGAGGCAGTGTGCAGGAAGCAGATAAGTAGAGCCTACCAAGACTTGCCAGAGAGTTCCAGGAAAAAAGGCAGAGAGGAAAGGTAGGTTTAAGATAATGGCAATGGATTTCTCAAATGATGAACCTTGGACTGTAGGTTAGCGTCGATGTTAAGAAAGTTGGGAAGCAAAGAAAAGCAGATGATGGCTTAAAAGGCGGGTAGGCCAGGGCACTGGTGATCCAAATGAGGCTGAGGGACAGCTTCAGAGGAAACAACAAATAAATAAGAAAACAGAAAAAGATATTTTTGATTTTTTTTTTTTTTTTTTTTTTTAGGATTGGGCTGGGAAAGAGTGATCAGAGGTGGAATGATAACTATAGAAGGAAAAAAGCTCAAGGATAGGTATCGAAAAAGGAATTCTGAAATTAACTGTTGGGAAACCGAGCCAGGTTTGAAAGATGATAGGGTCTATACATTGCCTTTCGGTATGGATGGCCAAAAATTGGTGGAGGAAAAAGTCATGGAAAATGAGAAGATGAAGAATTTGAGAGACCAGAGTATTGGATAACAGTGTTGCCTGTTATCCATGTGTACCCTGAAGGCATCTAGGACGATTCTGGGGTTTGAAATGACAGAAAAACAGCCTTTGAAAGGATTATTGGAGAAATTAGTATTGGACGATATTGATGATGAGTGAGTGAACATTTTAATTGAATGGTTAACCTCAAAGGAGAGGATGGGGGAGGAAGGGGCTAGATAGGGTCAGTAGGCAGCAAAGGATGGACATCTAACCTGCCTCCTACTGTGAGGTGTGAGTGATGGATGACAGAGAATGCCCAGCCAGGTCTTAAGAGGAAGTGGGGTCCTCTCTGGGGAACCAACTTCCAGTTAAAGAGGGAGGTGCAATGAACACTCTAAGAAGTTGCGGATATAGAAGACTGTTTTTTTTTTTTTTTTCAGGACAGGCAATTCCAATGGCATATTTCAATATCCCCAAATGCCTTCTGGTTTCCCGGTAATTTTCATAAAGGCCTTTATGGAAGATGCAGTGGAAGGAAATTGCAGAAACAGACTGTGCTTGGCATCAGGACTGTGGTCACATAGTGGTGCTCCTGATAAGATACAATCAGATAAACAGAAAGCAACTCTAATTCACCCTTCTGATATCTACAGGAGAAAGGCATTCCTTACCTTTCTTGCTTGAAGGCGTGCTGGATACCTCCTGGGGCTCTTCTGGGTCATTTGGTTCTAGACCATCATCTCTTATCTCTGACAAAAGAAACATACCTCACTTCAGAGCTCAAACTAGGTGAAGAGAAAGTGCTGAGGGAAATCAATGGAAGAACTAGAAAGGTATAAAGTGCATGCAGCCTGGGCCTGGGGATCTGCTTAGCCCTAGGGGTTCCCTGGCTCTGTCTTGATTTTTGCCAACTTGTGGTTATTGTTACCTGTGTGACCATCACAAGGATCTAAGGCACAACTGCCCCACAACAGAGGCTTAGTCTGATCCTTTTAGATTCTCTTATGGATGGAACAGAAGTGAGTGAAGAAGGTGCAATGAATGGAAATTGCAGAAGTAAACTGCTGGGTGTTAGGATCATAGCAAGACAAGCCTATAGACCCCCTCCCTGTTCTCCCCTGCTAAGCTGTGCTCATAAGAAAAATAGCCTCAAGCCTTGTAAACAGGGCCTCTAGGTTCCTGGATGTGGTCACACCCAGCTCTCAAACCCATGCACCACCAAGCTGCTCACTTGTTCCCTATCTAATCCCATTTTCTCACACTCTTTCCTTATGCCTCGCTGTCCCACTCCCATTCTAGGCAGGAAGCCCCATCACTCATGATCCCTTTATTTACCAACTCCTCCAAGCTGCACAGCTCCCAGCTAAGGCAGGAGTCATACACTGCCAAGGACACCAAACAAAATCAGATATAATCTCAAAAGGGAACAGAAAGTTCCCACGAGGCAGCAAAAAAAAGCCTCCCTTCCTCTGCCCCTACCCCCCTCCTCCTCATTACCCCCACAATCCAACCCCAGTATTCCCCCACTGAAATCTTCATTGTTACAACAAGGAGCCTCCTTCCAGGTAAACTGGATAGTCAAAAATCAAAAAACTCATCCTCCCTCAAAGCCAACCAAGGAAATTGTAACATCTCTTCACCAATCCTTCCATATCGGTGCACGCCCCCTATACCTTCTCCTTCGCCCTTACTTCTCTTACCCCATCTATTTATTGCACTGAAAGACATAACCTCAAACTGTCATGTTTGCTCTGTCACTTCCTCTCAAGGGGCCCTCGGCTCTCCTCCTGTCCCTACACATCAAGCAAGAGAAAAAGCCTCTCCCCATAACATACCAAATAGTAAAAGTCCACTATTCCCCCCCACACACACAAAAAAAAGGAAAAAAGTCTCAAAAAGAGTTTATCCACAGGATTCCATCAGCCACCTCACAAACCCTTTAAAAGAGGCCACCTTCCCATACCTGTTTTCCCTTTCTCTCCTGCCTACGCGGCTATCCCAGTTTCTCAGCCCTAGGACCATATTCCCATTTGCTTCTCACACACCATCCAAAAAGGCTCTGCCTTTGTAGACAGAGCCCTCACCCTCACTAGGACTATCCCACCACCCTCGCTAACAGAGCTCCCAAACTTCTCTCCACATATAGTGCCAATGACAACCACACAAAACTCCCTCACCTTGCCACCCAAAGCCCTGTAACCCTCTACACCTCAAAACTTGGCCAAGCCCCCTTATGTGTCACTTCTTCCAAGGGACACATACACATAGGCACCATCCCTCCCTCTGCCTGTGGCTCAACTCAAAACATCTCCAATTCTTCTTCCCATATCTCACTCCAAGTAAATTATTAAGTTTCCCCTGAAGTTAACGGCCTCTTTACCCAGCCCCTCTGTAATACCTCCTCTCCTGCCTCTTAAACATGGAAACCCCCTCCCCAGACAGGAGCCCTCAAAGGGGTCTCTCTCTCTCTCTCTCCTCCTCACTCTAGGTAGCTAGAGCTGGACTAAGTCCCTCCAAACAAGGAGCCTCTACACACTCCAACACCCATTCTCAATCCACTTGTCTGTTTACATTAACACCGCAGGCAAATTCTTTCTCTTTGGATCCACAACCTACTTCTGTCTCCTGCTGACTAGACGGGTACTCGCAGCCTAGTCTACCTGACCCCCAACATTGACCTTGTCCCTCCAAACCAAAAACTCCCTGCCCTACTACACTACATGCGTCCCCACTCCCCCCACCAACAAATACAGTTCATTCCCTTATTAGTAGCCCTTAAAGTCACAACTAGTGTCAGGTTAGAAGCAGGAAGCTTAAAAATCTCATTATCATAGTTTCAGTTGCTCTCCCAAAACTGCCAATCGTCACTAAAAGAAAAAAAAGAAAAAAAAAGAAAAAAAAAAAAGAAAAAAATGCAAACTCTATCACTCACCCCCAAAATCAACTAGACTCTTTAACAGCAGTCACTCTAAAAAAACTGCAGAGGCCTAGACCTCCTCACTGCTGAAAAAAAAAAAAAAAAGTCTGTGCCTCTTTTTAAATAAAAAATGCAGTTTCTATCTCTATAAATCTAGGTTAATATAAAATACTATCAAAAGACTCAGACCAAACCCAGAAAAAAACAACAACAGAAAAACAACGCTTCTGCCTGGCCCTCCCGGCCCGGCTGGCCTCTCAGGTCCTGGGCCCCTTGGCTGCTTCCCCCCCTCGGCCCTGCTGTAGCTCTCTTTCTCCTCTTGGTCTTTGGTCCTTGCCTCTTACCTTTTTATCCAGTTTTTGCAGAACCGATGACAAGCTTTTACCCGCGGCACGAGACAAGACATGATAATGTTCCAGGACTACCGACTTGCAAGCCAGCCTCACCCCAACCAGCAATCCCTACTCAGCATGAAGCAGTTAGAATGAACAGCGCCCCTTTCCCTTTCTTTTACATATATAACAAAAGACTGGAATGTTAGGGTCACAGCAAGACAAGCCCATAGACCTCCTCCCCGTTCTCCCCTGCTAAGCCAAGCTCGTAACAAAAACAGCCACAAGCCTTGTAAACAGGGCACCTGGGTTCCAGAACGTGGTTGCACCTGGCTCTCAAACCCAGGGTGTTAACCCAATTAAGCAGAATGTCAGCCCCTGAGAACCAAAATGCAGTTTTTCTTAGACTAGCACCTGGCTACCTACAAACCCCCCATATAATCCCCATTGAGTATAAGCCAGGCTGCTGCCTTCACTGCCTGTGGTGAGGCAGCCAGCCTGGCAGGTTGAAATAAACTTGCCAAACCTGATCCTGGGTCTGGCTCTCCTTCCTTTCGGTCAACCTTACACTGGGTATCATGACTACAGTCACACAGCTGCTGCTCCCAGCAGCCCTTGCTCAAGGAATGAAGCTGAGAGCAGAAAGTGGTGACATTGAAATCTGATGGCCACAATGAAGGGGAATGTCTTTGCTGTATGAAAAATACATCTTATTGCTTTGATGTCTATGTATGAATATTCTTTAACTGTTCTATCTGTGGTTATTTTACTTGGAGAAATAGTGAAGAAGGCTAAGTGCCCTATATATTTCTGTGTATAAGGATTGTGTGAAGAAAGCAGAAACTAGCCTGTGCTTGCTAGCATCTATTAACAGCAAAGATATATAAAGGTCTGTTAGTCTTTGCTGCACAAAGAAAGACAGAGGGCTTGAAGCCATAACAAATAAAGGCCCATCTCACATGAAGCTGTCACCTTTTTCTTTACACACTGCTGTGAGATCAGCCTCAAATGCTGGCCTGCTTAGGAATAGGTGACCGAGGCAGGTGGCAAGCAGTCGTTAAACCTTTGAAATAATTTATCACCTTTCAAATTATATTAGTAATATCAACTCTTAAACTCCACATGATATAGAAATGACCAGGGTTGAAAGTGAAAATTCCCCATGGTCAAGTTGGGGCTTGGAAGAGGACCATCCACGTCTGCTGCACCAATTCACTATTAGGGCCGCACGGTGTTCTTGTTCATTTGCTTTGCATTTTGACAGAGCAGTTTTGAGCATGGCTTTATTGAAGTGGCCTCAGGAGAGTGGCTGTGTCAAACTGTCCAGCCTGACTCAGTTCCCCATTCCCCTGGGGTTCCTGCCACAACCCCTTGTGGCAGGTGAATGTGTCCTTTTCATGCACTTTGTGGCATTTGGAGTCCAAGCCTACAGGTAGCGGTGGGGCTCTATCCCTTGTCATCTGTGGCCCAATCTAAGTCTGCCTTTTCCAGACTTGCCACCTGTAACCTCCCCAGGGACTCTGTATCCATTCAGAGGTCAGATCTCCTGCCTGTCCACGCTCCCAAGTGCTGGGTGAACTGGAAGCTGGGCCAAGATTGCTGTTGAGAGGTGGGTGGAGAGCCTCTCAATCTTCTAGATCCAAATGGCTTTTCCTCTCGGTAGACACAGAAACAAAAGCAAGCTTTTAGGTGAACTGAATCAAGATTACCTGGCATAGGGCCCAAGGGGGAGTGGGGCATCTCTTGAAGGCCTTCTTTATCTTTTTCTTGGGGGATCAGGTTGTCACTGGTGACTGAACGGAGGAAGAAAAAGTTTCAGATCTCAAGAACAACAAGCAGGAACCAGAGTGAGGAGGGAAGAGAATGCTCTATTCCAACAAGTAAAAACAACGGAGTAACTGAGCAGCCAAGCCCTGGGCAGGGGTGGGACAGAGTGGGAAAGTAAGCAAACATTCACACTCAGTTATCCGCTTGTTCTTCCATTGCTGTTAGCTTCCTGATTACGTTAACCTTTTTGGACGGTAGGCATTAGAGGAGTGGATGAAACATTATTTGATGAATAACTCCATGTCCCCATCCTGTTGGAAGGCATGTCTTAAGAAATCCCCTTCCCCAAGTAATTCTGAGTCTCCAAGGTACTGAAGTGTGTCCCTTCACCAATCCCAGTTGGTGCTTCCTGTGAACAGCACCTATGAAACAGGAGAAAGGGATTTCGTATTACATAAATGGATTTCTTACGAAGGGGATTTCTTAACACATGCCTTCCAATAGGAGGGGGACATGGAATTATTCATTGTTTCCCAGGTGCATACATCACAGAGGACCCCTATTCTCAGTACTGGGGAGCTCGGAATCCATGATCTCATTTTTGACAATGCCCAATAACATACCATTGTTATATTTAATGTAATCAAATTCCATTATGACAATGGTTTGGGGAGGACAAGTGAGACAATTTTAGAAGCTAAATATCAGGTCAAGCAGACATTTAAATATTTAATCATCTTTTCTAGTAATTTTGATAACATTGCTCTTAGAATCCAAACCATATAAAAATGAAGAAGGTTGAAACTCAAAGGATCCCATAATCAGGTGGGCGTGAGGAATCCGCTAAAGGTTGCTAGTGTGTGTTACATAGGTTACCTGTCAATTCAGAATGGTGTTTTGGTTGTCGGTTTGTTTTGCATTGCTGCGTTGGGGAATAGGCCCCTTCTGCTTCTTTCTCCTTGTCATGCCCAGTTCTTTTTCCCAGGGTTCCCACCATAGCCTCTTGGTTGGCAGATATGTGTTCTCTTCTCCCTTCACATCCACCTTGAGCTAAGCTGTATCAGCCCCAGTCAGTGTTACCTTGTACAGTGCTAGCGAGGAGGCTGGGCATCTCTTTTGAGTCTTCTTCCTCATTCATTTTGGGTGTTAACTTGTCATTGGTCACTGAAGGCGGAAAGGAAATAATTACAGATCACAGGGACTGGATGTGAGGGAGGAGAGTGAATATTAGAAGTTCCTGGGGGAGATAGAGCATCAAGGCACAAGGGTAGAGGGTTGGGCTGTTCTAGGAGTGGGAAGCAGGAGTTCTAGACTCTAGATGTTACCCAGCCTCCTGGCAGTGCTCATAATTCCCCTTGAAAAGGGCTGTGTATGGGCAGGTGGGTGCAGGGGAAGAACTAGGACAATAAAAGGCAAGATGCTGGGATTGGAGGCAACATGGCACAGGCGCCCTATGCTGGGGATATACAGGTGTTGGATGGGATCTGTTTCTCACCTGGAGTGCTCCTTCCTTCCTGGATGAGTCCAGGAAGAGGCAGGGTAGGGTCAGATGGGCTGGGTGATTCACTCGGGATCTCATCGCTTTGCTGTGAGGATGTTCCAGGCTCACTGACTCTTGGTGCACAGGATGAACAGCTTGGTTGAGGGGGTTGTGGTGGCGGCAGCGGCAGCAGGGTACGGAGTGAGCTTCCTCCTGCTAGGCCAGTTGGGGCTTCAAGTAGGATTGGTGTGTCTCTGCTCTGCTGTTCACAGGAAGCTCTGCTCTGCTGTTCACCAACTGGGATTGGTGAAAGGACATACATCAGTACCCTGGAGAGACTCCGAATTACTTGGGGAAGGGGATTTCTCAGTACACGCCTTCCAACAGGATGGGGACATGGAGTTATTCATTGTCCCCCAGGTGCATAGAACGGATTCACTGTCATCATTAACCACATGCGGCCCCTTTCTATTTTATTTATCCAGTTTGGGCATTGCGATCTAAGCCCTGATCTAATACCAAAATGGTTTCACACATAAAGTTGGGTTTGGGTTTGTACCCAGGGATTTAATTGTCTTTAATTTTGGTGTCATATAATTTAGTCAATAATGAACATGCTACAGTTTTAAAAGAAGTCTCTGTTTTAATAAATAAATAGATCATACTTCCCCAAAGCAAACAAGAGAAAATAAAAATTCCTTAGCAGGATATATTAGGACATTCATATTCTGGTTTCTGCTCATTTCTGCAGAGTCGGCTTCTGTGCCTTCTATCATACCCTGTGGTCTGGCCACACCCAGCTTTCTCTCCCATCCACAATACCCCAGACCCTTGGCTTTCCACATGCTATTCCCTGGCATGGCTAGTGCTGGGTTTCTCTAATGATTCTTCTCCATCATTTATTTCAGAAGTAAAATGATCTCAACCAGTGAATGGAGAAAGGAAAGTAACTTCAGATTTTGGAAAGTGATCCAGAACAAAACCATCAAGTTGAAGATCGTGGAAGATAACTGAAGCTCAGCCAGGTCAGGGGCACATCAGTGGGTGGGTCCCGGTGCCTCTCAGGTGTTCTTCACATTGCCTTTAAGGCCATGCCTCTCCTAATGTTGCCAGGATCCTGCCAGAGCAGTGGGCCCTCTGTAGCTGCTCCTGCCTGTAGGTGGATTTGCCCCTTTCACTGTCCCTTTAGCTCAAGAAATAATCTGCCCCTTTGGGGGGAACCCTTTAGTGGTGAAGTGTCAGAGAGCAAAGGAGGAACTGTCAACAACGGTGATTCCACTAAAGAAAATATCACAATCCAACGTGGGCTAGTGGCCCTTCCCTTGTTGTTCTGAGGCAAGTGAACATATGCTTTAATTTTGGTGTCATATAATTTAGTCAATAATAAACATGCTGTTTTTCTTCCACTGTTTTTTTTCCAACCTAAAATGACTTCACTGCCTGCTCTTTCACCCTGGCTGCTTCTTCCCAGCTCTGCCACGGTTCTTTTTCCTACTCCTTTATTTATCCAGTCTCTTTTCTTTCTCCATGTACTTCATGCTCCATTCGTTCTCAGACCCTCTCTTTCTGTGGCTGTGGCTGTGATTCCCTCCCTTTTTCTGTAGCTACCTTTCTTCCCTTCTCTCGCATTACTGTATGCCTTCCAGCTGTCCTTGTTCAGACTAGTGGTTAAAATCTCAGGCCCTGGTGTTGGGAGACCCAAGTAGGACTCTTGCTCTGCTTCTTAACAGACAACAGACAATTAACTTTGAGAAAATCACCTCTGGGCTTTAATTTCTCTGTCAGTAAAATGGAGACAAAAATGACTTCACAGGGTTGCTTTAAAGATGATATGAGATAATCAAATAAAGTATTGGTGATATTGCAATAAGAAAAAGATACTTCTTATTATCCATCCTTATTCATTCTTCTTCCTCCCTGGCTGACCTTGTCCTTCCACCAGACCTGGTCTCTGTAACTTTGCATTTTTGTCACCTTATGCATTCCATATAGATTGTCCAGTATGCCAAAGTATATGATTTTTTTCCAAATTCATAGAACACGCAAAAAATGTTTATGCCCTCTAGAAATTCATCTTAGAGAGTTGGAGTCAGCTTTAGAAAAGGGCTGCCCCTGCAGCCGTACCAGTGAAAGAAAATGAGTCCATTCCTTCCCAAAGAGAAAGCCGGGGATTATTGTGCATATTCCACAGGGCTAGAAGTAGACCCAGACTTTTACCATAGCAAATTTTCAAATGCAAAAAGCACTTGAGAAATCTCATTACCACGTTTGAAGCTTCTGTAAATCGTCACCAGATTGGGATATTCATGCAGGTTAATTTGACTGAACAATGTCACCAGAAGAGACAGGTTAAAAGTCCTCTCCAGTTGGGTGAGAATGTTGTGCACCACTTTGGATACAGGGACCAAATTTCTACAGGCTTCCAGAGATTCCTTAAAAAATGAAGTGAAGGTTCATTAACAACAATTATAAAATTGAACGGGAAGTTATACATTTGTGATCTTCCAAGTTTTAAGAAAGCTACTTTACTCTTTTAAGAAGAAATTTACCATAAAATGTAGAGTCAGTTTCTAAGGTAGAGTGGTCACAGTTTTACATGCTTATTTTTGAAACTTTACACCTATTTGGATGACTAGTGACAAAAATAAATAATTTAGCTTTCTTTAAAGTAAGTCTATATTCTGAATCCACATTTCAAGCACATTTGAGACGAGAGAAATTTTAAGGAAGGAAAGTGGAATTAAAGGATGCGGCTATGTAACTGATTCTTTAAGGCTCTGGGCAGGATACTTCAGCAATGGTTCTAGTGATGGTCACAGAGGCAATTCTGTTGATTCCATGTTAGCCTCTACGCTCTCTCTGTGTGTGTCTCTCAAACTTGAGATGGCCTGAATGGATTCCAGCCACAGAGAAGTCACCCAGAGAATTTTCCTTGCTGAGAGGATGGACAAAAGGAGAAATATGGCAAAAGAGAATTGATTGCAAATGTTCATTGAACACCTACTACGCTCAGTCAGCAAGTTTTTAGATACACAGCACTGAATAAGACCAACATGGAGCTTCCCATATTTGGGGGGCGGGGTCAGAACTGTCAGGTGGAGAGGATGGGCATTAAACAATAAACACAAATAAATACCCATTTACAATTGAGAGTAGTGTTATGGAGGGAAAGCATAGATTGCGATGGAACCGAATAACTAAGAGGTCTTAATGAGATAAGTGGGTCAAGGAGACGTCTCTGAGGAGTATGATCTCGTCTGTGATCTGAAGAGGGAGTTGGGTCCACCAGGCTAAAACTAGGGGAAGATTGCTGGCACTTCCCTGAGTCTAGGGCTCAATAAATGGTTTTAAAAACCCAAATTATGTAAAAATGGGTCCACTTTTGTCCACATAGCATATCTCCCAGTGCCTGCCTGTCTCACATCAGAATACACTGTGAGCAACATAAGCTGTTATAAATCGGGATGATGCCTGTAGTGAGTTGAATGGTGCCTGCCTCAGCCAAGATATATGGATCTAGAATCTGTGAATGTGAACTTATTTGGAAAAAGTGTCTTTGCAGTTGTAATTAAGTTAAGGAGATTGAAACAAAATCATCATTAATCAGGGTGACCCTAAATCCAAGTGTCCTCAGGAGATTAGGTAGAAGACTCAAAAGACAGGTGATGTAGAGATGGAAACAGATTAGAGTGATGCCTCGTGTCTACAAGGCAAGGAACACCAGGGACTTTCAGCAGCCTCCAGAAGCTAGGGGATAGGCAGAGATCAAATTCTCAAGGCCTCTAGAAGGAACTAACCCTGTCGACACTTTGGGTTTGGACTTCTGGCCTCCACAACTGAGAGAATATATTTCTGTTGTTTTCAGCCACCTGGTTTGTAGTCATTGTCACAGCAGTCCTTATGATACCCTGGAACCAATATAGCCTCTAAGACACCCTCTCTCCTAGTCACCCCCACCTTCTGAGATAATGAACACGGCCAGGCTAGGCCTTCCAAACTCTAGAGACCCTGGTGGTTTGTGGTTTGAGACCTCAATAATTGGGTGTACTTGGTGGGGGCTGGGCTCCCACGGAAGGGTCCAACAGGACTCACCGTGTACATTCTCTGAGTGATGAAGGAGTTGTCTAGGAGGCCCTCAAAGAAGGGAAATGGCTTGTGTATGGCATAGGCGATCCTCAGCTTCTGGTACATGAAGTGCTGAAACAGAGCCTCTTCCATGGCTCTTGTCATGGTGAACATCCTATGGAAAAAGGCATGATAAAAAATAGAAGCAAAGGCCAGGTGTGGTGCTCATGCCTGTAATCCCAGCACTTTGGGAGGCCAAGATGGGCAGATCATGAGGTCAAGAGATCAAGACCATCCTGGCCAATATGTTGAAACCCTATCTCCACTAAAAATACAAAAATTATCTGGGCGTGGATGGTGCACACCTGTAGTCCCAGCTTTTGGGGAGGCTGAGGCAGCAGAATCGCTTGAACCAAGGAGATGAGGTTGCAATGAGCTGAGATTGTGCCAATGTACTCCAGCCTGGGTGACACAGCAAGATTCCATCTCAAAACAAACAAACGAACGAACAAAATAGAAGCAAAGTCCTTGAGGAGTGTGGAGAGCTTCTCTCTGCATTAAATGGGCAGATCTAAAGGTAGGCATTCTGGTCCCAAAGGCATCCTTAGTAGCCTGCAAGGCAATGTCTGCCTAAAAGCCTCATGGGTATTAGAAACAATGACAATTCCTAGCAATAATGGAGGCTGAGAGTGACTGAAAATATAATGACAGAATCTCAAGGGGCTGCAGGTAAACATAAGGCAGATATTAAAAGTAGCTGATATTTATAGAGTGTTTCCTCTATGAATATCATTTAAACCACTCCCAATCTTCAACACAAACGGGCCAAGCAAAAATGAAAGCATGAGGGCTGAGAAGCATACTTAGTAAAAGTGACTTCACTGACTTGTTCAATGCAAGCATTTCATATCTCAGACATGTGCCTTTCCCAAGCCATGCAACATTTATTAAAGATTGGCCATTTATGGACCACGAGAAGATATCATTAGGTTATAATGGGCAGAAAATTTACAAATGACATTCTTGACAAATTGTCAAGAAAAGGAAATCACTAACAAAACATTCAATGGACTTGAGATTTTTTAAAAAACAAAACAAACATGGATTCCATTTTTTCCAACTTCATTTTGTGTTGAACAGAAATTAAATTGTAATTAACAACTGTTTCCAGGGATTTAATCCCAGCGGCAGATGAAGCACCCTAGTCTCTTTCTCCTCATTCCCAATTTTTTTTTAACTTGGCAGAAAAAAAAGTCATGAAAAGAATAATCTGCAATAGCACTGGAAAACCAGAAAAGATGCCACTGAGAGTCAGTGGTGGGGAAGAAGTTTTGGAAGACAGAGAACAGGTAGGAGAGAAATCTACTATCCACAATATACCTACGGGGAGGAGATAGTGCAAAGATCAGTACAGAGTCACAGAAAGTCAGAATGAATATATACTAAGAAGAGGAAGGGGTCTTGGGGCTCCTTTTAGGACAATTCATTATACAGCAGTGCTCAGAACAGGAAGTCTGAAGCTTCCTCATTCTTCATCTGTCATGAGTCCCAAGATGAAAGGGAGGCACAGAGAGGTTAAGTAACTCACCCAAGGTATTCAGTGGCAAAGTAGAGCTTGTCTGACTCTAACATCCTGTTTCTCTGTGTGCAAGATACTACATCTTATCAATGACTGTTCAGATTTTTATTATGTAAAGAGATTTTGCAAACAAATAAGCAAAAGACAAACATCCAACTAGAAAAAAAAAAGCAAAATACATGAACAGGAAGTGATAAAAGAATAATCCAAATGTACAATGAATATATAAAAAGCATGTTAACTAGCTAGTAGAACGTATAAATGAAGGCTGGACACAGTGAGTCATGCCTGTAATCCCAGCACTTTGGGAGGCCAAGGCGGGCGGATCACCTGAGGTCAGGAGTTTGAGACCAGCCTGACCAACATGGTGAAATCCTGTCTCTACTAAAAATACAAAAATTAGCTGGGTGTGGGGGCACATGTCTGTAGTCCCAGCTACTCAGGAGGCTGAGGCAGGAGAATCTCTTGAACCTGGAAGGTGGAGGTTGCAGTGATCTGAGATGGTGCCACTGCACTCCAGTCTGAGCAACAGAGTGAGACTCCCTCTCAAAACAAACAAACAAAAAAACCCCAAAACAAAACAAAACAAAACAAAAAAATCCAAAGTGTAAATGAAGACAGTTTGATAACATATTTGTCTATCAAATTGGCGAAGGTAGAAAATAATAGCAATAATTCCAGACACTGTGACTGGGAAGGTAAACAGGTCTGAATGTTCTGGAGGCTGATTTAGTAATCAGTGTCAAATGCCCCAAAATATGATTATTTCCTTGAAACAAATTACAGAATTCCTTTGAATTCCCACTTCTAATAATTTATTTCAAGGAAATAATCATGAATGTGTTTAAAGAAAATATATAAAAAGTTCATGATACACTGGAGAGGAAATTAAATGTACTCTCAGGTTTTCCTTTTCCATCAGCTTCCCAAGGACCTCTAGTCATTTACACAATGGATAACAGATGAGCCGCTACTGCGGGCAGGGTAGGGATCAGAGCTGAGGGGAGGGTGGAGGACAAATCTCGTTTCCATTCACAGTAAAAGGCTAGATCCTACGGGAAAAAAGAGTTGTTGTCAGTTTTCCCTCCATGGTCCTCCTTTTAACAGTCTCCTAAGAAGTACCACGTGCCTGAGCTCTGAGAGCTCCCCGAGTTGAAATAGTTGAACTCCACCCTGCAGCTGCTGCTAGGAAGTTGATTATAAAACTGTAGTCACCAAGAGCGAAGAATAAAGCAGCAAAGACAGAAACTCACCTGGACGCTGGGCTTGTTGTCCCTGCCCTTTTCCAGGTTCCAGGGGCTGGGACAGGGATCACTCCTGTAAGACTGGGATATTTACAGGGAGATGCCAGCAGGCAAAACAGGAAGTCTGTGCTTTGATACACGCAATAAGGGGCCAGTCTTCGGAGAAAAGAAAAGTGAAACTGTTTGGAGTTTGCCAGGCAGGAAGCTGAAGGCAGGTCGGTGCCTGCAGCCTCTCTTCACCTTCTCAGGGGCGCTTGTGAGCCTCCCAGGGTGTCTTAGCAATTGGGGATTGGGGGAGGGCATGTTGCCAGTTGGGACTGGCCCAGAGAGAGGGGTATGGGAGGAGGGGGCATAGGGGTCCAGCCCCAGCAGCAATGGGAACTGGGAACCCACTGTCCAACTGCTTCCCTACCCGCATCGATTTTCCCATGACTTATCCTTATTCTGTACATTTTAGGGTGATGAAAACGTTCTCAAATTGGGCTGTGGTGATGTTTACATAACTGAATAAATTTGCTGGAAATTATCAAACTTCAACAACACACACAAAAAAGGGAATGTGCCAGAAATGCCTACGATTTGTCAGGATAAGATTATTATATGAAGAAATTGAAATGAAAGGGAACCTGCACGTGAACTGGAATTGTGCAGAGGCAGGCAGACCTCCAGGCAGAAAAGTGGCTGAGAGCAGCAGGTAGGTGGGAGCCAGGAGTCGGAGGCAAAGTTGGGGCCTGCTGACTCCAGAGCAGCAACTCAAGGACTGGCTGGCTGGCAGGGACACCCCTTCTCATGCCCCTTTTAAAGATCCCTAATGTACATTGGCTTGTGGGGCCTATGAAAAGGTCCTCTAAACTATTGACCAGGCACAGTGGCTCATGCCTGTAGCTTAGCTAGCACTTTGGGAGGCTGGAGGCAGGCAGAGCACTTGAGGCCAGGAATTCAAGACCGGCCTTGCCAACACGGTAATAATGGGAAAACCTCAACTGTTAATTCACATGCTAGTGATTATGTACTGAGGATCCATTAAAATTATACTATATAACTCTTTTTTACCTCCATTCTGTTGAGGTATAACATTTATTCATTGTAATGTACATTTTACCAAATGTAATTACTGCACCAGTCAAGATATAGACCGTTTATAGGCTGAAAGAGTCACTTGCGCCTATAATCCCAACATCTTGGGAGGTTGAGGCAGGAGGATCACTTACGCCCAGGTGTTTGAGACCAGCCTGGACAACATAGCAAGACCTCATCGCTACAAAACTAAATTTTTAAAAATTTATTGGGTATGGCGGCACACACCTGTAGTCCCTGCTACCAGGGAGGCAGAGGTGGAGAATTGCTTGAGCCTGGGAGGTCAAGTCTCCGGTGACAGGTGACAGAGTGAGACCCTGTCTCAAAAAAAAAAAAAAAAAAAAAAAAAGATATAGACCATTTCTGTCACCCAAGAAAGTTCCTGTGCCCTTTGCAGATAATTCCCTTCTTAAGGCCAACATCAGGTAACCACTGATCTGTTTTCTGTCACTAAGATTAGTTCTGTCTATATTAAAGTTTGTTATTTATCAATGAAAGCACATGGAATGCACTTTTTGGTGTATGGGTTTTTTTTCCTCACATCACACTTTTGAGATTCATCCTTGTTGTGGGTCAGTAATTTATTCTTCTTCAGCAGGTGTGCTGGCCACCAAGATCTTGCTCATTCTGTCTGATCAGCATGATGTCACCAAATGTAATCAATCAGTCTGACAGTCTATGGGATGTCCACGTGATCCAATACCGTTCAACTATATTATGACAAAGGGTAAGTGAGTTAATATAACCTTCCTGGACTGCCTATTTTCTTAGCCTGTCCTCTGGCTTTCCCATACATTCTGTGAGCTACCCAATGTAGTTCTAAGAAATTGACTTTCTGCCTGATTTAGCCAGAGCTGGTTTGGATTACTTTTACTCCCAAATCCTGACTGATAAAAAAATTGGGTAGCAGAGGTTGAATTACAGGCAAGAGATATTCAAGGAAAAATGATAAATCTGGGATTGGTTATCTGACATAATTGGACATAAAAGCAGTGAACATCCCCATCAGCATTCAGAGTCAGGAATTTGGGAGTCATGAGCAAGCAGGGGTGAGCTGGCAAATTAAATTACAGCACTGGATTGTGGTTACAACTCTGCAATTCATTTCCCCAATTCCAGGTGTCAGGTTCTAGCATACTTAGCAAAATAAAGAGAAATCTTTTAGGTAGAATGAAAGCATTCGTTTACCTTTGGGGAGTATCACCTACTTGCCCTAAATCTGGATGGGGGAAGAGAGACAGGAAGCAGGCTGGAGACTTTTGGCCCCACAGGTCACATGGCAGTAAAAGAAGACATGGAGAACCAGGGATGGTCTGATGGTCCTACACGTGCCTGGCCCAGGCGTCCCTTACCCAGGAGAGGTTCTGTAGTGAGCATAGGGAAAAACAAGGCAAATGGGAAATAAAACGGAAATTCCAGGCTGTCCTTACGTGAGTTAACGCATGATGTTGCAGAGCAGGGCTTTCTAGTAGCAGCAGTATCTCTGAAGTCCCAATCTTACCACCAGTCTGCTGGGGAACACCAATGGCCTTGTGCTTATAAGCAAAAGAAGCTGGAAGATTTTCAAAAATGCCAAGTTCACTGGTGTCCTGGGCCTGCCTGCTGCCTACAGGCAGAGAGAAGAGAGAGGCGGGTGCTGGAGCAGCGGGTATTATCTATGCCAGGCCTTGTCGGAGCCCCATGGGACAGCTGTGTTCAACAGAGGCCCAGCTTACTAGCCTTTCTTGTTCTAGAGAGGGAGGGAGGAAGAGCCAGAGAGAGAGAGAGAGAGAGACTGAGAACCAGACATATGCAAGACCTGGTAGTCACAGTGACGCTGCCTGCCTACTGGAAAAGGTGTCTTCATCAGTGTTCTGGAGTCTGTCCCCACCAGATCGGTGTTTGTTCCTTTGGTAGAAAGCAAGCCTAAGTGGGGAGGAGGGTAGAAATTTCTTGTCCTCTGTATTTGCAAACTTATGTATACAAATTTCCTTGCATATGTGTAATGAGCCAGAAAAGATAGGATTCGTGGGCAGATGTTTTGGAAAAATACTACTTTGCCTCTGGCTTTTCAATCTTCACCACTGCTCTGTCACTGGCCCTGGGTTCTACCCACACCCTGGCTCCCATTAGCCCTGTCTTTGACCCATCGTTCTGCCTGGATTTCAAGTCCTGAGATTTTATTAATTATATTTGTTCTTTGCTCCCATTTGTTTATCCCTTGACTTTATGCTGATACAGTGTGTTTTTGTAAATTATTTAACATCCTTCACAGAATGAGGGCTGGGTATAAATGAGAAATTGTGTACAAACATAAATGTCGTACAGCTATCCTGCAGTATCATATTGTCATTGAAGGTCTAGATAATCAGCTCCACATCCTTTCCCTGTCCAATGAGAAGGCTGTCACTTTCCTCAAGATTTCAGTGAGATGGTGGAAGCTCATTTTTTTTCCCCATTACCCCTGGCTGCAGTTGTAAAGTGCCCATGTATTTGAGAAAACTTAGAGTTGCACTTCTCTTGCCCAACCTCAGCACTTGCCTTTGGCTGGAGGAGTTGAGAGAGCTGTCTCTTACCTCTGTCTGCTTTCAAAGAGTGCTAAGGACATCTCCCTCACTTTATAATGCACGGTATTTCAGTTCTCTCTAGGGCCATCTCCAAATACTGGGCCTAACTCATCCAGCCCAGGCTCACCAAGGTGCATGGCTAGCCCTAGAGCCTGACTGAAGATTTGAAACACCTGGTCTTCACTTGCCCCTCTCAGCCACCTCCGCAAGGGGTACGGACAAACGTGGAGTTTGCTTCCTCCTCATGATGCCACCTTATCTCGAAACAACTTTGATCTGCTTGAGTGGAACGACTTTTTCACCCGCTTTCCTTGGCAGGAACAAACGACCCCATCTTCCGTGGCTTCATGGGGCTGGCTCCGCTCCTCCTCCCTTGACTGCAAGACCTAACAGTGATTGGGTGGAGAGAGGACTGTAGAGCTGGCGCACCCAGGTCAGGTGGTTAGACAGTTTCACTTTTCTTCTCTTCTTTGGACCAGCCACAAGGGGCAGCTGGCAGTTTCACCTCAGAGCTGCAGGAAGGGACAGCGGCAGTGAAAATCGAATCAGGTGTGATCCTAGGCTGAGCTCATGGCCCAGCGGGACCAGCAGGGGCAGATGGCAAGTGGAGGCAGAGATCTCAACTTCAGGTGGGTCATCATCTCCTTTCCTGTCTGTCCTTCAGCTCTGGTAGTGTTCCCATTCACGCTTGTTACTTAATGTCTACCCAGCTTCACTCTACAGCTATACAATAGAATGAGGTTACAAATAAATAACAAGGCAATCAGATTTTTTAAATTGCAGGGATTGGCTGTTGGAGAAACTCAAGGGTGCTCTGACTCACATGGTCTTCCTATTTCCTTACATCTGTGAATGGCTGGACTGGAGCTGTTTGAACATCATGCGCCATCTGAGGCTTTGCTGTAGGATTGGATGATTACCCGTGATCTCTGAACCCACTCCTCTCCCCCAGGCCTCCTTTATCCCTACCCCAAAAGACAACTCTGTCTAAAAAAGATCTTTTTAGAAGAATTAAAATCCAAATACCTGTCTGTTGTCACACATTCCAGGCTGTGTAGCTGGGACCAGTTCTGCTCTGAGTGCATTTATGTGGCTCTTAGCCCTAGAATCAGTTCAGGATCTCCGCATACTTGGTAGGAGGAAGTAAAAGCAGATGAGACCCAAGAAAAAATACCAGCAGGTAGAGAGGGAGTGCTGCTTCTGCTATTTTTATTTTTCTGTTCTGGTATGTTTTACATATCTGGTCAGAGAAGCCTGGAAATAATCATTAAAAAACATAAGACAAGACCAGCCTGACCAACATGGAGAACACTAAAAATACAAAATTAGCCAGGCATGGTGGCACATGCCTGTAATCCCAGCTACTTGGGAGGCTGAGGCAGGACAATCGCTTGAACCAGGGAGACAAAAGTTGCGGTGAGCCGAGATTGCGCCACTGCACTCCAGCCTGGGCAACAAAAACAAAACTCTGTCTGAAAAAAAATAAAAATAAAAAAAACAAGTATGTTAATACAGCCATTCTTTCCTATCTGTGGATTCTGTATCCATGAATCTAACCAACCATGAAAGCAAAATATTTTTAAAAAATTAAAAACATTAATAACAACAATAAAAAGTAACATAAAAATCTAAAATATACAGTGTAACTATTTGGCATTTACATTGTATTAGGTATTTTAAGTAATCTAGAGATGATTTAAAATATACAGGAGTATGTGCATAGATTCCATGCCAATACTACACCTTTTATATCAGGGACTTGAGCATCCATGGATTTTGGTATCCATAGAGGGTCCTGGAACCCATTCCCCCCAGATACCAAGGGATGACTTGACATTCTTAATAAAAATGAAAACAATGTGTGGAATGTAAAAGTGTATGGAAACTTGTCTAATTGGGACTCTGTGCCAAGGCTACTTCTGGCACTGGTACAGCCCCAAGAAGGCAACAGTTTTTGCTGCCACCAAGAGCAGTGGTGGCACCAGGCTGGTTTTCAGTGCTCAGTGCCACCACTCCCAGGCAGGCATCCCAGTCATCTTTCACTTGCTCTCTAGCGAGGGGAAGATGAGCCAGTGGAACTCAAAGTCCAGCCAGCCTATGGTCACCAAGCAGGAAAAAGATAGCACTGAGAGGTGACAATGGAGTAATGCTGACCTCAGAGAATGAGTTAAGAAGTGTTGCCTCTGCTTTTATTTTTGGAAGAAATTGAGGAGAATGACGTCATTTCTTCCCTAAGTGCCTGGTGGGATTAGCTAGTAATACCATCTGGGTCTAGGACTTTCCTTTCTGGAGGGCTATTAATTATTGATTCACATTTCTTTAATAGATATAGGCCTATTCAGACAATCTATCTTTTGTGCAAGTTTGGTTATTTTGTCTTTTAAAGAATTTGTTCATTTCATCTGTTACCAAATTTGTAGGTGTAGAATCCATAGTTTCCCTTTATTACCTTTTCATTGTTGATGGAATTCACGGTGATGACCCATCTTTCATTCTGATAATTTCTGTCTTCTCTATTTTTTTCTCTGTTAGCCTGGCTAGAGGTTTATTAATTTTAGCAGTTGTTTCAAAGAATCAGCTTTTGGTTTCATTGAGTTTCTCTAATGTTTTCCTCTTTCAATTTCATTAATTTTCACTTTAATGTTTATTATTTATTTTCTGCTTGCATCAGAGGCTTAAATTGCTCTTTTATTTCTCTGGTTTCCTCAGATGAAAGCTTATTGATTTAGATATTTTTTTTCTTTTTTCTTTTTTGAAATGGAGTCTCACTTTGTCACCATGCTGAAGTGCAGTGGCACGATCTCGGCTCACTGCAACCTCTGCCTCCCAGGTTCAAGCGATTCTCCTGCCTCAGCCTCCCGAGTAGCTGGGATTACAGGCACCCACCACCACACTCAGCTAATTTTTGTTGTTGTTGTTGCATTTTTAGTAGAGATGAGTTTTCACCATCTTGGCCAGGATGGTCTCAATTTTTTGACCTCGTGATCCGCCCACTTTGGCCTTCCAAAGTGCTGGGATTATAGGCATGAGCCATCAAGCCCAGACTCTTCTTTTCTATTATATGCATTTAATACTTTGCATTTCCTTCCAAGTGCTGCTTTTGTTGCATCTCATTCATTTTAATGTTATTTTCCTTTTCATTTAGTTCAAAATATTTTAAAATTTCTTTTGAGACTTCTTCTTTGACCCTAGAACTATGTTGGTTAATCTGGAAATATTTTGGAATTTTCCAGCTATTTTTCTGTTACTGATTTCTAGTTTATGGTCTGAGAACAAACTTTTATGATTTCTATTCTTTTAAATTTGTTAAAGTATGTTTTATGGCCCAAAATGTGGTACATCTTGGCAAATATTCTATGTGAGCTTAAAACGTACATGCATTCTGCTGTTGTTAAATGGAGTATCATATAAATGTCAGTTAGATCAAGTTAATGGCTATTGCTGTTCAGGTCAACTATATCTGTACTGATTTTCTGCCTGTGTGATATATCAATTAATAAAAAGGAAGTGTTGAAGTCTTCCACAATAGTAGTGAATTTATCTATTTCTCTTTATAATTCTATCCTTTTTTGTCTCATGTATTTTGCCATTAGTTTGTTAGCTACATGCACATTAAGGATTGCACACCTTCTTGGAGAATTGACTCTTTTATCATTATATGATACCCCTCTTTAATCCCTGGCAATTTTCCTTGTTCTGAAGCTGCTTTGTCTGGAATTGATATAGCTACTATCACTTTTCTATGATTAGTGTTGGCATGGTACATCTTGCTCCATCCCTTTATGTTTAACCTATCTGTATTTTTATATTTAAAATGGCTTTCTTACAGACAATGTATGGTTGGGTGTTTTATGTTTTTTATGTACTCTGTTGATCTCGTCTTTTAATTGGTGTTTTTAGACAATTCATATTAAAGTGATTATTAATGTAGTTAGATTGATATCTACCACACTTGTAAATGTTTCATTGTACCTATTGTTTTTATTTTTTCCTTCCTTTTTTCCTGCCTTTTCTTTTATTGTTTTATTGAGCATTTTGTGATTCTATTTTCTCTCCTTTCTTAGCATATCAATTATACTTCTTTTAAAACATTTTTAGTGGTTTCCCTGAAGTTTGTAATATATGTTTACAGCTAATTATGTTCATTTTAAATTATACAATATCACTTCATGAGTGGAGAATACGTCATGCAGCTGAATGTCACAAATTCTGCCCTCTTGTTTTTTTAACTGTGAAATGACTGGCAGTGTTAAAAAGAACAGGAGGGCTTCCAGTCATTTCACTTATTTAGGTTCCATAATCAATCATTACATTGTTAATACTATTAGTTTGAACAAACAGCTACATTTTAGGTCAAGGTGGAGTAGGAAAAACGAAAACCTTTTATTATATCTGCATTTATTTCTTCTCTGATGCTCTTTCTTTCTCTATGTAAGTCTGAGTTTCTGGCCCATATCATTTTCCCTTTGCACGAAGAAATTCTTTTAACATTTCACACGGAGTAGGCTATCTGGCAATGAATTCCCCTCAGTTTCTGTTTGAGAAAATCTTTATTTCTCCTTTACTTGAAGGTTAATTTTACAGGATATAGAAATCTACATAGGCTTTTTTTTTCTTTCATCACTTTATTTCCACTTTCTTTGCTTGCATGGTTTTTAATGAGAAATCTGATGTAATTTTACCCTTGTTTTTTTCACAGGTAAGGATGTTTCCCCCCATCCCCTGGATTTTTAAAATATTTTTTTCTGTCTTTGGTATTCTGTAGTTTGAATATAAAATTGTAATTGCCAAACTAGATTCTTCTTGTCCACTGCCCAGAAAAGCCACACACCGAGACCAATAGGAATTGCAGCAGAGAAAGAACTTAATAATCGCATGGCCCGCCAAGTGGGAGATGTTTCTCAAATCCATCTCCCCAAGAATTCAGAGACTAGGCTTTTTTAAAGGGTAGTTTGGCAGACAGAGGTCTGGGGAACGGGGAAATGCCGATTGCTTGGGTTGGGATGAAATTGCAGGGGGTTGAAGCTGTGTTCTTGTGCCGTGTCACTTCCTGGGTGGGGGTCACAGTACCTGGTTACCATTCCTGTGGTACTAGCAGGTCCATTAGATTGCAAGGTCTGAAAAATGCCTCAAACATCAGTCTTAGGTTTTACAATAGTGAAGTTATCTGTAGGAGCAATTGGGGTGGTTACGAATCTTGTGACCTCCAGCTACATGACCCCTGAACCATAATTCTAATCTTGTAGCCAATTTGTTAGTTTTACCAAAGTGGTTTTGATCACAGAGCAAGGAGGGGGTAACTTTTGGGAAGGGATTGTTATAATCTTTGTTTTAAAGTTAAACTATAAACTAGCTTGGCATACACCCAGAAATGAGCAAGGACGGCTTGTGAGGTTAGAAGCAAAATGGAGTCAGTTAATTTTGGTTTCTCTCACTGTCATATTAATTTTTGCAAAGGTAGTTTCAGTATGTCTAAGTTTAGATCATCTGACATTTATGCAGCTTGGTGTTCGATGAGCTTCCGGAATCTGTGATTTGTTGTCTGTTATTAATTTTGGAAAATTCTAGGCTATTACTACTTGAATATTTCTTCTGCTGTATTTTCTCTTTCTTCTCTATTATTGCAGTT